TTGGCATTATATTAACAGACATCTCAATTCTGAGGACCAAACTCCTAAAACTTCAGCTTTTATAGAGGTAGTCATGCTTGTTGATAATCAGTTGATCAACGACACTTGATTAGCAGCACCTAGTTACTACTTAACCACTTCATATCTATGGAAATAGTAAGGGTGCACTTCATTTTTATACGCAGCTTCTCCATTTTGTCTTTCTTTTTGTAAAATAAATGATGACATGGGATAATATGTCATATGTTATTGTTCATCATATATTGCAGGGGTCCCCAACCCCTGGGCTTTGGCCGCAGCCTGTTAAAAACAGAGCCACAGGAGAGATGAGCAAGTGCGTGTGCATGTGAAGCTCCACTTGCATGAGTGGAGGGCGCTTGAGGGGAGAGTGCTTGCACTCAGGCACTAAATTCCATTCACGCGAGCAGCAGTGACTTGCGCTCGTGCAAAGTTCCCCTCATATGGAACTTCCGCATGAGCGCAAGTGCCCTCCACTCATGCAAGTGGATCTTCGCACACAAGTACAAGTCCCTTCCACACACATGAGTAGAACTTCATGCACAAGCACAAGCACCCTCTGTTCAAGTGCCCTCCACTCGTGAGTGGAGCTTCGCGCATGAACACCCTCTGTGCACAAAGCCCCGTTTGCACGACTGGAGGGTGTGCGTGCCTGCCGCTCACACAAATGGAGTGCTTCTCACAGACCCATCCCCCTCCGGCGCTGGGCTGATCTATTAAGCTGGGAATGCTGTTGTATTGTATTTACAGTACCTTCTAAGAATTGCCAAGGAACAGATAATTTTTGCTATATCCTGATACATAAATCCATAGGACTCAAAGAAGGTGTACTTTCTTTTTCACATCACTGTATGTGCGATTCATAATTCTACTGCTGGCTTCTCCCATTGATTCTGCTTCTAAGAAGCCAGCTGTGAAGTGCATAAATGATAATCATGTGACTGTGGAATGCTGCATCAGTTGTAAGTATGAGAACTGGTCATAAAATTATTTTTTCAGCATTATCATAGCTTTGAATGGTCACTAAAGACAGCCCTTAAGTGAAGGTGATCTGTACTGCTATCAATTTAACTCCAAATTACAAATGATTCTTCACAATGGATTCATACAGACATTAACATGAAGGAGACCATGACCCTCCAAAGTGGTCAAGCAAAAATTACAATATTGCTTTCTATTTGTGTCCCCCAAAATAGGAACAGAAACAACATAGGAATGTTTCCATGTCCCTAGTTTCCTCAAATGGTCTAACATGTTCAATGCCATCAAAATCTGCAAAAAAATCTAGCAGTAATAACAGAGTAATGCTTCCCCTGATCTCATTGCAAATCATTCAACAAGTCAGCCAAGGCAAATCTGGGAAAAGATCAAGATGATCCATTTCATCGATAGTTCTTGGAGTTGTAATGTTTTCAACTTTTTCCTATTGACCTCACTTCAAATAAAATATTGGTTATTGGTAGGTAGATGTTAAAATCATATGACTAGTGAAGGCTTGTTAATCCAGGCCTCTTACAGGACAATTTTACCTGTAATAGAGAAATAGTGGCCTGAACGATAACTGGAATGATTGGACTTTCAAAGCTGGATAAAGATCTAATGAAAAAAGTGTCACAATCAGACAGCACTTTCCTCAGGAGACAAGTCATGAAACTGATTCTACTGAATTACATGGTACATATCTTCAATAACTGCTTCAAAATTATGACATGAAGCACAAGAAGAAACTGAGTAATCTTGTATGCTTATAACAATACTCAAGAAATGTTCGGGTGCTAGACTGATTGTTAGAGATTAGGACACCTGCTTGTAGATATGGATAGTTTTATGCATATACAATCAGGGAAAAAAAGCATTGTTTTTTTCTAATTGCCCTGGCACAGGCTTTATTTATTTGTTGAATGTATTTGTCCATCTTGCAGTGGAGCTACTCTGGATGGTTTACAACAATAACATAGAAAAGTGATTTTAAAAATGTAAAAATGCAATAGTAAAGGAATGAACCCATAAAAATAAACGGTGAAAGTACAACAATATGAAAAAATGAACAGAGGAGCAGCAGGAAGTGCATGGGGAAGTGGAGTCAGTCAGTCCAGCAACCACCTCCAGTGACAAACTCCTCTACGGGTCTCCAAGCCAATCAGCAAGCCACGTCTTCAGGCCCTTGTAGAAGGATGGGGAGGTGGGGGGGGGTAACTTTACCTGGGGTCAGGATGTTACAGAGGACAAGCACTACAGCAGAGAAGGTTCTTCTGGATTCTTTCAGTTGGAGTTCCTTGACTGACAGGATCCTCAGCAGGCCTCTACCAACACAAGTAGAATGGGCTTGTCTAACATCTTGAACTGCACCCAGAAGTAAATGAGCTGTCTGTGCAGCTCATCAAGCAGTGGTGTAACCTGGGTCATTGTATTTCATGTATTAAGACACTGTATTATGTCTTCACCATATCCTGTCAGACATGTCTATGGACCTGTCTCACAGTAGTCTCATCACTTCATGTTGCATCTTCAGTTGCTTCCTCTTCTCTTTCCTTACACTTTCCCCAGCATTAGAAGGCCCTTCAAGGGCCTTGCTCCCCAGGTTTATCTGCGAGACAATTTCGATACTAGGCTCACGGGATAAGCAGAATGGGACAACTCACCACGACCAATTCACTGCGGCCAACTCACCACAGTTAACTCGCTGTGGCCAACTCACCATGGCAAATCGCCATAAAACAACTTGCCACAGGAAAACTTGCTGTAGGACAATTTAACAACTCAATTATTTAAAATAAATTAAAAAATATTTTTGTCATTCATATTTCATTTTGTCCCTCATGGCATCCTTTAATGATTCTATTTCTTTGATATTAGTGTAACTCTTGTCCTGAAATGAGTTGTTCCATGGCGAGTTGGCCACGCCAGGTTGGCTATGGTGAATTGGCTATGGCAGTTGGCCATAATGAATTGTCATAGACGCCAGAATCAGGTTAGCTTTGCTGCTATTGTATTGACTTCCCTGCTGCGTAGCAACTTTCCTGCCTGAGCTGTTAAGAGTCCATCTCTGGATTGGCAGTGGAATTCCTCAGACTTGGTTTTGGGTGACTTCAGTCTGCCTTCCTTGAGTTCAGCTTGAGAAGCAGCTCAAGAGTTCATGACCTCCATAATGGCTATGAGTCTATTCCAGATTGTCACAGGTCCAATTTGGAACAGTGGTCACACACATCAGATCTAATATTTTATTGGTGCAATGTCAACATCATTTGGTGATGAATCTAACATTATCCCCCATCATGGTCAGATCACATTCTAATATTCCTGAGACTCTTTTACATCACGCTCCCCTTTAGGGAAATCAGACCCATTTGAGCAGTCTATCCCTGGAGACTGATGGACCCAACTGGATCTGAGAAAGAACTGGGTCATATCCCAAAAGATTTGCTGCATGGTCCTGCCAAAGCCTTAACAGCCTAGAATCAAAAGGCCATGGGGATTGACAAGATCGCACCTATGCAACCTCTTGGCCATTTGCTCTCATTTTCTGTGGTTCATGGAGAAACTGAAGAGTTCTGAAACAAGTTGAGAGGTTTGGAGCAGGAGTACCCAACCCCTGGGCCGCAGATCGGCAGTGGTCCATGGCTCGTTATGAACTGGTCCACGCATGCAAATGAAACCCATCCAAACACGAGTGTGATCCAGAAACTATGCTCCCTCAATCCACAGAAAAACACCTTCCGTGGAACTGGTCCTGGTGCCCAAAATGTGAGGGTTCACTGCTCTAGAGTACCTCTGGAGAAAAATGAAGGATGACTGGGCATTATTAAGGCCTCTTAAGAGCCGCTATTAAGGCCTATCTCATGGCGATAAAAATTGGAAAACAAAAAACAATAGGGCTCTGTTATTGCATCTGCAGAGTCTTGTTCCTTGGCCCTGTTCCAAATCATCCAATTTCTCCTCGGCAAGGTGAAGGGGCTCAGACAATCATCTCCCTGAAAATAAGACCCTGTCTTATAATTTTTTGAACCCTGGAATAAGCGCTTGGCCTTATTGCCATGCGCTCAAAAGCCCGATTGGGCTCATTATCAGGGGATGTCTTATTTTTGGGGAAACAGGGTACCTAGGATGCTGGCAGCAACCCCTGTCGACCATCAACACCAGTCAATGATATTTGTGATGCGTTTTTGAATGTTCAGTTGACTTGAGTTTCATGTTTGCTGAATAGAAGTTTATAATTGTAGTAGTAATAATAGTAATAATATATCCTAACTTTGCAAAAACCAATCCTACCCAAAACTTTGGGGAGAGGAAAAAAACTTACTTTTTTCTAATTTTTTTGTGGGATAGGTTCCCCAACCCCCCCAGCCCCATATGGATTGGAAGTCAGAGTAGAGCAAAACAAAACAAAACAGAGGCACGTGTTTTCCATCTAAAATAAAAGGCCATAAATGTGTGTACCTAATCAACATGGTCATTAGTTTAGCTGTTTTTCTTTTTAAGCCGGCAAAAAACGGAAGAAAGCGACCAGCAATTAAACTACTGGCTGGATGTTCTGCAGAAAACGGAAGAATTTTTTCACTTATTCTAATAGCAACCGCTACTCCTACCAGAGGTGGCGCTGTCTCTAAAATAGAACCCTTCTGTGACATACAGTCATAATGTCTCATTCATAACTCTAGGTGCTCCGTTGTTGATTGGTTATTTGGTCCGTAAAACGGAGAAATACCAATCTATTTGATACAATACCCTCTTCGGAACAAACTATCTTTTCAAGAAAGGCAATTAAAGGAAAAGTTAGTGGATTTGCTAACTGCGCGTTATTTTAAAATAATTAATCCAAACCACATTGTTTTGTCACAACATAATTTCTTGACTCTTTTTAAATGAACTGTTACTACAATAATTTTCTCCTTCAATTTCTCAAATAGAAATGGAACATTCCGCTCTCCCCTCCCTTTATTCGTCGCCATCTTGACGCCTCTTTTGCGCAGGAGTCGATGGCACAACTTGTTCTGCGGTGGAACAAACCACGGAAAGGGAAGCATGGGGGGGAGGGAAAGTGGGGTGGGGCGATATATTCATAGCGGGTGAAACTAATCGAACCATGTTGTAAAGTGTGTGTGGGGGGGTGTTAAGGTTAAGGCTCGCTTGGGGAGGGAGGTGGACATTACTATGCGATAACTGACAGGGGGTGGGGCTTCGATCTAACTATGATGTGAAAGGGGAGTTATGGTGTGGTGCCCGGTTCTGTGAACGGAACTCTTGCTTGTAGCGAGGGGAAGGGTGTGTGCCTGTGGGTGGTACTGTTGTGATTGGTGCGTGTGCATGTGCACCTGTGTGTATCTCCTATCTATTCCGCTGAATTAGGTGGACAGAAAAAAACAGAAGAACGACGACGGGTGGAGAGAAGGTTGTACCGTTGTGAACGCTTTTTTTTTTTTTTTTAAACGTGGGGAGGGGGGAGGTGAGGGATACGGCTGGCTTAATTGCACTGGGACTAGTCTAGGTGGAAAAAGGGAGGGCTGGATGGTACCATTTTGGGGGGCTGGTGGGGAGAATTAAAGAAGTACCTCAGATTCGAATGATACTCAACCGCGGTTGAGCGGAGAAGAATAGAAGCGGTGCCTTTAACGGCCCGCTGTGATCTGAAGGTCGGAAAAAGGCAAGAAGAAGCACCACTTCAAGAGTTTAGAAAGGTATCCATGGTGGCATCAGTGATGAGAGGCTGGTTCTAGTGGTACCTTGCAAGGAAGTGTCAAGTCTAACCAGCCTGTGTATGTACCCAGTGGTGCCATTTTGAGCTGATACAAGTCCTACCTTCAAAGAGTGAGGAGGGAGAGTGGCTTGAATACTGAAGGGAGCAGAAGTCTGGGCCTTTCCTTGGAGATCCGTTTTGACATGACTGCCCAGGTTGGAGGGACCCAAGGAGAGGCATGAAAAAACTCTGCTTTTAGGAGGAGGCCAATATTTGTTCAAGCAGCCCCAAGGACTCTTCTCTCTGCCATGGCTTCAAACTGTACTGGAGGCACAGCGGCTGCAAGCGCTGGCTCAGCTATAGGTGCTGCCCTCAGTGCTTCCAAGACCAAGACCAAGAAGAAGCATTTCGTCTGCCAGAAAGTGAAACTCTTCCGAGCCTCTGAACCGCTCCTGAGTGTCCTTATGTGGGGAGTCAACCACACGGTGAGCAAGAGCTGCACAGTTCACCTCCCACCTCTTTGAACTTAAGACCTCTCAACTAGAGAGGCACATCCTGCTGTTGAATATTTGTCTCTTCTTACCACTATTATGTAGCATCTCTTGCGTTGATTATTAGATACAGGGTAAACATCTTTATTTTGGTATTTATATAGCAGAATCCATATCTTGCATGAAAACAAATATTGGAAAATTGTAGAGAAAGGTATAATTAAAAAATGGACAGCAGGTAAAAATTTTCTAAAATGATTACAAAGGGGAAGCAATTCTGTGTTGAATGAATTTCAGAGTCTTCCTCTATAGAAGATAGAACTTCTTTACTGTCATCTTTCTTCTCACACCTGTGAGAGGGAATTTGGTGGAAGTGGAGCATGTGGGTGGGTGTGTATTGTACGGTACCTATTAACTTCTTTAAAAAGCTCTGCTTTTCCTGAACGTGATTTAAGGAGGAACAACATTTTTGTTGAATCGCCCTTCTCCTTCAAAATCAGGATTGCTTCACAATTTTAGTTTTTAGAACAAACCAGGAGATTATCTTTATTCAGAAGTCAACTCTTGAGTTTAAGAACACTGCTCTGTATATAGGACTGTAGCTTCAAATCGTCAGCAGCAGATTCTGATTTTTGTAACCTATGTTGTCATCTGGGTTCAGTAAATCCCTTTTTGCATATTCTTTACCAAGGATGAGTTGATTTTCTGTATTTTAAATGATTGCTTGCCTGGATAACTGTCTTCATAAAGCAGGAACGTAAGTTCTCTGAATTAAGAAGGAATAACAGATGGTAATTTTTTCAATATCCAGAATAATACTATATAATTCTTAAATATCTACAAATATTATGATAAATCATTTTGTTGGAATCTGCCTGAATACATTTATGCATTGTCTCAGTTGTAGAAAGCAATAAAAAGCTCTTGCCTTTTCAGAGTCCAGGGACAGAAATGTACACATCTTAGAAATCCTAGTGAGCATTGTCAACTAGTAGCCCCAGAATATCTGAAAAGTTGCAGTTTAGAGGAAGGTTACTAAAAAATATTCACCAACAAACTTAACAAGCTTTAGTTAGTAAAATGGTCTCAAAGAAATTGAGATTATTCAATAGTAGCAGTGCTGACAAGTGGAGATATTTTTTTTAATATCAATCATACAAGCCCTATTGCATGTTGTATGTACACATCTGAATGGGAAATTATGGTGTAGATGGACTACAAATCCCAGTATTTTTATAATCAATCATGCTCCCTGAGTTTGCTGGGAATAATTCAGCAATGACCACACAGGTAGTCTGTGGTTAACAATGGTAATTGCGACGAGAATTTCTGTTGTTAAGGGATGCAGTCATGACATGTAACATCACATGACTACATTGCTTAGCGCTGGCAAGCCTGGAAATTCCCATTGCTATCATTAACTGAATTTCACGGTTCATTAGGGGAGGACCCATCCTGAACCAAGCCATTCCCAAGTTATGTCCTCCCCTCCACATGCTTTGATAAGATAAGGGACTACCTCCTCTGTCTCTTCCTGAACTCCCCTTATTTGTCTATCTTCTCCCCAATCTCTCCACTTTTGGCTACCCGTTAGCTCCCCCAACCACCCAATCCTTACCCCTACATCTTACATCACTGCAGTACCAGCCAGGGCCTTCTTTTGCAGTTCCTTCTTTTGGGCCATTGCAGCCAAGACTTCTCTCGCACCCCAGCCAGGATTTCTATTCGCATGCTAACCTGGGCCTCATTTAGGTCCCAGTTGCCCAGCTGGGACCTTCTTTCATGAAAGAAGCCTGGCATGTGAAAGAAGATTCGGTTAGAAGGATTCTTATATGCTGGGGCTTTTGTGCATATGCCAAACATCTTTTGCAAAGGGCTTTGGGTGGGACATAAGAGTAACCTCAGCTACACTGATGCAAAACAAGGCCTTGGTCAGTGTAGTAGTGACTTATGGTATAATGAATATAGTAGCAGGTAGGGCCAGTAGCAGCAGTGGGTAAGTGGGCAGTTGTAAATTAAGATGTGGGTCTAAATTTTGTTCATATGAGAATGTTCATATTGCTCATAGGAGAATGTTGCAACAGACAGAACATTGAGGACTAACAAGACGTCTCTTTGTTCAACACCATTGTTGCTAAAGAATAGAAATTAAGCAAGATTTATCTGTAGGTGCTTAACTGACAGGGAATATGGTCTAATGGTTAAGGCAATTGGCCAGAAACCAGGTGACTGAGTTCTAATCCTGTTTTAGGCATGAAAGCTGACTTTTCTTTCAGCCCACAATGACAGGATCAGGCAACAAACAAGTCAGTCAATTCTTAATGAATCAACATTGACGTGATCTGAAAAAGTGGATCCTGCATTAGGGAAAATAAGGAAAAAAATATGTAGATGGTTAAACTTGATTCATGCAACTGCAATTGCAATAGGTTTAATTATTTAGAAGTCACTGGTAAATATTTGCAGTGAATAGGAATATTTGTGAATGTTTGGTGAATATTATTTATATGAACAAAGTGTCTTCTCCAAGTCACTTTATTTACCAGTAGGTGTTTGTTTATACGCTACATTGTGGGGAAAAACCATATATTGTTTTTGCAGTAGCAATAAATACTATTGAATAAAAATGCCTGACAACTAGAGTTGAATATATTTATCATCTATCATCTTGTTTGGTACTTGATTTATCTGATGGAAAATTAATGGCCAAATACAAATATATATGTAATATAGCACATGAAGTTGAGAAAAAACAAACTACTGTGTTTCTCCAAAAAGAAGACTGGGTCTTATTTTCTTTTGACCTCTGAAAAAATAGGTAGGCCTTCTTTTTGGAGGGTTGTAATTATTGACTCACCTCGTGGTGATGGAACTGACAGTCCTGCCCAGCAGGAGCCTGCTGCTGGCCCACTTCTTCTGCAGCTGCTTGCCGCCACTTGCACACATTGCCCCGGCCTTCATTTTGCCTTCAGATGCCTTCCGGCAGGCATCTAAAGGCAAAACGGAGATCGGGGCAATGTGTACGAGTGGTGGCAAGCGGCCGCAGAAGAAAGAGAGGCAGGTGTCGGGGTGTGCAAGGTCTGGTAAGTAGGGCAGCTTCACTCCCCCACCCCCACTGTAGCTTATTTTTTACCTGTGTGTCTTGCCCCACCCACTGCACACCAGAGTGGGCAGGGTCCTAATTAGGGCTTAATTTGATTGCATGCACTCAAAAACATGATAGGGCTTCTTTTCAAGGTAGGTCATCTTTTTGGAGAAACAAGGTAATAAGAAAAATAACATTTTAGCAAGTGCTTACCATACTTTCAAACACATTCTAGCATCAAAATACAATCAGATGATTAACTAAAAGTATGAGTTATTAGGACAGATCTGAAATTATTAATAGAGACATAAATAATTATCTGAATAAAAATTGAGACAGAGAAAGAGAAACATTACACTGTCATATAAATTATGCAAACTCATAAACTGGAGATAGCAACTGATAATGATGGTGATGTAGATGACGTAGCCTAGAGCACTCAGATACCTATGATTTCTTCTTTCAATAAATATCACCCCTTTCCTAACTCTGTTTTCTTGACCATATTCATTTAATGTTGAAACTGCCAGTAAACGTTAATGGGATTTATTGGCTCTACCATTGTACATTCCAACAATTCAGGTGACTTCCTTTCTTTTTTCCCTCACATCCTGTTTAGATGTTGCATTTCTTTTGCAGATTAATGAGTTGAGTAATGTCCCTGTCCCTGTTATGTTAATGCCAGATGACTTTAAAGCCTACAGCAAGATTAAAGTGGACAATCATCTTTTCAATAAGTGAGTAATAAATATTTTTGATTAAGATATACTCCCCCATTCCCCATTTAACTTCAGTATCTGAATAGATGGCTTGTTATGAATACATAATGACATGAATCAGAATGTTGCAGAAGAGAATGTGACATGAAAGAAACACAACTATTATAAAAGAGTAACTTGAACTCAGCACGATTCCTTAGTCTGAATGTGCTCTATGTCCAGTCATGAAAGGATATGATTGGGGACTACAGTTCATTTTCTGATAAAACCAGGACATAGAGGATAAAATCCTTTCTGTACCAAATTTGTTGACTGCTCAAGTATTACTGAATTTTCATGAACCAGATATTTAAGAAGTATCTCTCTCTCTCTTTATGCCTCCCTATTCTTTAGATCTGTTCTGTGTGTCATGTTCAATACAGTAGAAATCAAAGAAATAATAGGTTACAATGCTTTGCAGAGGGAGAAAGGCATTGATTTTGTTTTTGATGCCTCTCTTTGTGTTCTTTAGAACCCATATTGACTATTCATTGTGGCTTTTAAAGCTAGCTGAAAATTTGCAGGACTTTTTTTTCTACTTCTGTTTTTATTATGCCTTTTGGGATTTAAATTCTTTTTTAGTTGTATATTTTAAAATGCTTGTTGGAAAAGCAGTTTGTAAACATTAATTGAGATTTTACATCTTGACAAACTTTGGGATTTGAATATAGAATAGAAAGCAAACTAACTCAATGTCAGAAATGTTAGGTTGGGAGAACTGAGTTGGATAGACAATCATGCTGATCCTCGACAGGAGATTTGACTTCAAAGAAGGATTGAAATATACACACTAGGGGTGAGGTGGCATCATTGACTCATCCCTAATACGCTTTGAAGGAGACAATCTCAAGTACACACATTAACCTTTGGTAATATTACAATTGTCAGGCAACCTAGATTAACTCTTAATAATTAGATGTTTGTTAAATTTTTTTCCATTAATGCCATTAGTATAATTTGAATAATATGTATAGTTTGGACAACAATTTTTAATGGATCAAGAATGTTTTGTAGATATAAAGAAAACTTCTTTTCTTCTTTAATAGCCTATCATCATCATCATCATCATCATCATCATCATCATCATCATCATCATCTTTTTAGCCATATATCCATTGCAGCATGAAAGCCTCTTCCACATGTTTCCAACCAATATAATTCTGAGCTTCCTTTTGCCAATTGGGCCCACGATACTTGCTGATTTCATCGATCCATCTTATTTTAAGTCTCTTTCATAGATGCTTTTTATCAAGTGGGATCCATTCTATGACTGCCTTTGTCTACCTGCCATCAGTTCTTGCTATATGATCAGCCCATTTCCATTTCAATTCTTTCACTCTCTTAATAATATTGTATATTTTTATTTGTTGTCTAATCCATGTGCAGGTCTTTCTTTTTGTCTTGTGATACTGAGCATGTATCTTTCCATGGCACCACTTGTAGCTTTTGTGTTGATAGCAATAGCATTTAGCCTTATATACTGCTTCATAGGGCTTTACAGCCCTCTCTAAGCGGTTTACAGAGTCAGCATATTGCCCTCAACAATCTGGGTTTTCATTTTACTGACCTCAGAAGGATGGAAGGATGAGTACTGAAGTAGACTGCAGTACTGTATTCTAACCACTGCTCCACCATGGCTCATAGTGTTCACCAGCATATGTTAGAGCAGATAACACTGATCAAAAACTTTCTCATCAGGTACAGGAGAAGCTTGTTCTTGAAAATTATGCTTAATCACATTTAACAATCTTTTCAGTTTCCTTTATTGTATCACTTTTTATTGAGATCTGTTGCCAAGGTATATGTAGTGGTCTACTACATCTAGTTCTTCTCCAGATATATTTTTTCCCCCTTTGGTTAATTTATTAAACATAACCTGGTTCTTTTTCAGGATTATTTTTAAGCCAAATGGTTCTCCTGCTTTGTGCAGCTCCTGTATGTGTCTTTGTAGCTCTTCTGGGTCTTGTGAGAAGAGAACATCATCATCTGCAAGTTTTAAGTGATTTAAATAGGCACCATTGATTTTTATTCCATCTTTTGCCCAGTCTAGTTTGCAAAATACATCTTCAAGGCAGGCTGAGAAAAGGATGGTGATATTGTATTACCTTGTCATACACCTCATTTTATGTTGATTTCTATTTTAAGATCATTAAGGCAAATTGTCATCAATGTTTTTTCATATATTCATTGTAGTAGGTTTACACTGCGCCTTGATTGAGCAATGCATTAATTATTGCTTGCTGGAATACTGAATCAAACACCTTTTCGTAGTCAATGAAATCCATGCACAGAGGCATGATGTACTTATGCCTTTCAATGACTTGCTGAACAACCTGGATGTGATCCATTGAGCTGTAGCCACTTCTGAACCCTGCCTGGTCCTTTGGTTGTGCATCACTTAATGTTCTCAATATTCTTTTTGCTATTATCTTGGTGAAAGCCTTGTAAATGACTGAAAGAAAACTTATTGGGAAGTAGTTTTTTAAATCAACCTGGAGCCCCTTTCTTATGTATAAGAATCACTTCAGCATTTTTCCCTGCGCTGGGTATTTTTTCTTCTCTGGGGCATCTTGAATACAGTTTTGCTAGTATTTTGTGTAAACTGTGACCACCAGCTTTCAGCATTTCAACCGTAACACAATCATTTTCCGAAGCTTTGCTATTTTTCATTGATTTTATGGCATTTTTTAGTTTAGTTTAGTTTAGTTTAGTTTATTACACACACACACACACACACACACACACACACACACGTGTATGTATATGTACACACACACACACACACACACACACTGTTTCCCCTAAAATAAGACATCCCTTGATAATAAGCCCAATTGGCTTTTGAGCGCATGCACTAAAATACCCCCCCCCCTGAAAATAAGCCCTCCCTGATAATATTTAAACGCATGTGCAGCCGGTCCCCACCATTTCCTCTGGTTAGGGTTAGGGAAACAGAGCTGGAAATCAGGTAAGATGGCAAGAGGAGCCCTATCTTGCTCCATGCGCCCCAAAGTAATAAGACATCCCCGAAAATAAGGCCAAGCACTTATTTCAGGGTTCAAAAAAATATAAGAAAGGGTCTTATTTTTGAGGAAACACGGTATATTAATTTATTTTATACACTTTTTGGCACTAACAGCTTATTACTCATTATTTTTTGTTTTTCATGATGTCTATCATTTTTATATGCTTTTTTCAGCAGTCTATTTTCACTTAAGCTTGTACCATTCTATTGATGACAGTACAATTGCAGAATATGGTTTTATCACTTGACTTGATGTAGTCAACTTTGCTTGGGTACCCAGATGGACTCTTCTATATATCCATGTTCTGTTAGCTTTTTTTCTTGTAAAATGAGTTCATGATATAAAGTTCCTGTCCTTTAGCAAAATCTACTAGTTTGTCGCCTCTATTATCTCGTTCACACTTCCATACAGGCCAGTTGCTTTTTCTCCAGGTATTGTTCTTCCTATTCTTGCATTAAAGTCACCCATTAGTATTTTGTTGACATTTTTCTTTGTCTTGAAGGCAGGCCACATTGTTATAACACTCTTCAAAATCTCATCATCACTATAGCTTATTGTTGGCGTGTAAGATTGGATGATTTGAAGCATGTATTGTTTGTTCAATTGAATGATCATTGGACTACTCTGTCTGATATACTTTCAAATTTTAGTACAGATTCTTTCAGCTTTTGGTTGATGAAAAAACCAATTCTGCCACATCATCCATTTTCAGCACCTCTAATGTAGAGTAAATACCCAGTCCTATCAAGTTCAACTAAATTTTAACCTTTTTGTTGTGTTTCACATAACCCAATGATATCCCAATGTATATTGCTGAGTTCAGTCAGCAGTTCTTCTAGTTGAGCATCTGTTTTCATTGTCCGAATGTTGATCATTCCTGTGTCCAAAGTCCAAAGACAGCCTGATTTAATCCGTTGATTCTTAGCACCCTCTGCTTTCGGCCAGGTCTTTCTGCTGCCATGGGTTGTTGCCATAGGGCCTCCAGGGAATAAGGGCCATTTTTGAGGCTGTATTGGTAAAAGGAATAGACCATAATCTGTCACAATGGGCAATGTGGGTTGGCAGATGTGATCTGTGTTAGTCTGGGGTATCCATCATGGCCTGTTCACTTTGTGAGAACCTTTTGGACATTTGCATGTCCAACAACATAGCCTAGATTTTATTTACACTTTTGTCTCATCAGGAGGTTTAGGCTACATTTCCCATTAAAATTGCTTGGAACATACCTGCAGCAATTACATAAGATTTGAATGTCAGAATCTGTAGAACTACCCAGAATGTGTTTCAGAAGTCTTCCAACATTTTAATGTAGTTGGGAGAATATATAGTAGTTGCAACTTAGAAGAAGCACTTCATTTCTTCTTTCAAAATTAGCTGCAAATAGTCTTTCTTTCATGAGCTCTGGACAACTGTTATGAAATCACCAAATCACTTTTTGTAGCTTGTGTCTTTTAAACAGCATCAAGTGTTTTAATTAAAAAATACATAATTTTACAATATTGACTATGGTGTTCATTCAGTCCAGTAGCCAGCCCAGATTTTGGCTATACCCTTTATGCTTTTCATGTAGTTTTCATAATGCTTTTCATGTAGTTTTTAAACAAGTATGTTTATTTATTTCTTAAGTAATCCCACCTTTCCTCTAGGTGTTCAAGACAGTGTACAATCATACCATACTACTTCTGCCAGTTTTCCCCACAACATTTTTGTGAAGTAGGCTGTCTGAGAAAGAGAAATTGGTCCAAAGTACCCAGTGAGCTTACATGGCTAAAGCTAAAAATGATTTGATTCTGGATCTCCCCAGTCTTAGTCTAACATTTTAATTTTACACCACACTAACATGTTTATTCAATTGATTAATATCATTTGGCCTCCATGGAGACAATGATATTTTCCAACTGGTACCTACCTACCTTATCTAGTAAAATAGAAAAATAATTTTAATCAGTCAAATAAATAATTTTAGATATAGGAACCTCCTGACATGAGAAGGAATTTACCTTAGGCAAAGTAAATAGTCTGCTTTAATATTTATACAGAATATAACTTTTTATTACCCTGATCTTGCAGAAATGAAATGTTTTATAAATATTGACAGTATGTTTTGGAATAGCGGATATGGAAGGATCATTCCTATCAAGAAATATTATAGAGATGAATCTTAACTCATCATTCTGGACAGTTGTACTACATTAGATAAGTTCTACTACATTAGATAAGTACTTGACAGGGAACTCCCCTCAAGCAGATGCCATACATGGAATCATTAGGCAACTGCAAATAGAGCTGTTAATATGGTGTAATAATGCCCTCATACAAAGCATACTTGGACCATTGTATACCACTCTTAAGAAAAATATTTTAGAACTAGACAAGAGGCAAAATAGGGCAGGCAAAACAATTAAGGGGCCAGAATAACATCTTGTTGAGAAAAAGCCACAATGATTCAAACACTTTAGCTTGGAATGAAGGAAGGTAAGGGGAAACATGATAGAAATATATATTATACAGTGTTTAATAAATATATTTATTATATTAATATAATAAATGTTTAAAAGTTTATGAATCTTTTTGAATGCTCACTGTTTCTGCAGAAATATGAGCTAAAATGATCTGTTCTCCACCCAAGTTTAAAAACTAGATATAGAGAGACCAATTAAGTGTGTGTGTGTGTGTATACTGGAAAATGTCTGGGTATATGTCCATGAACTGATGCTCAAGACAAAGTGGGTCATGCAGCAAGACAATGACACCAAACAGACAAGCATTTCAACCAAAAAATAATTAAAGCAGAAGAAAGATATTGTTTTGGAGTGACCAAGTCAAAGTTCTGATCTTAATCCTATAGGAATGTTGTGGAAAGACCTGGAGTGGGCAAGTTCACGCAAGGAAGCTCCCCATCATCCCTAAATTGAAGCTATTCTGTAAGGAGAAATTGGCTAAACTTCCTCCAAGCAAATATACAAGACTGGTTAACAGTTATCAGAAATAACTGATCAGAAATTCTGATCAGAAATCAGAATTTGGTTGCAATTATTGCTGTCCAAGGAAGTCGCACCAGTTACTGAAAGCACAAGTTCATATACTTTTGCCACATATAAGTATGCAGCTTTGGATCATCTTCCTCTATAAATTGGAAGACATGTAAAATGTTTTTGACTTATTTGTTATGTTGAATTCTATTTAGTTTTAGGATGTAATCACATTTTTTATCATTTGTACAGAAATATTGAAAAAAAGCTTCAACTTTTTTAAAAATACTGTTGTAAAGTGCCTCGGTTATGTGAAAAAGGAGATGTTTGTATCATATGAATCACACTTTCATATCCAGGAGGCATAATCACACGGGGCATAATTTGAAATTTGCTAATAATACTTGTGTTAATGTCAGTCAAACTATTTTTGAAAAGATTGAACAAATACATGTAGGGTCAGAGGCTACTAATATTTATGGTTATTTATTGGCTGGCTATGTGCCTTAAACAGGTTTGTGGAAAGTCACTATAAAAGGGTCTATTGCTTTTCAATCCAAGCTTGTGACCTTCCCAAATACATACAGATGGCTGATCCAACATGATTACTTATTGAGTAGATTTAATCTAATCCTCCTACTAGTACTCCCCAGAAGAGATTGTCAAATCTTAATCTAATGAGGGGAAAATTTTAGGACTGATCATGAAAAGACAAATGTAATTTGAAAGAAAAACAACCTTAAATTTGGAATAAAGCTATAATTTATTTATCCTCCTAAAGAAAAGGAAAGAAAAGGAAGTGAAGTAATTCATGCTACATGAATTACTGAAGGCTTTGAACAATTTTTTCTATATATATTCACTTATAAAATTAACTGTTGGCCATAAATTTTAGTTTCTTTCCTAGGTTTTTCAGTCTATATATGAGGTCAGAAATTCTATAACTGATACTAACCAACTCATTTTCTTTAATTAAACCTGATTAATCTTTCTCTAATGCCATAGTGGAAGATGTATCATTTTGCCTTTCTTTTTATTCATTTAGAATTTTTTAAAATTCTTAAGCCGGTGCCAGTATTAACAAATATAACTTCATTATAGAGTAAGCAGTCACCAGCAGTCAATCACAATTTTTGATTAGACAGCCAATAGTCATTTACCCAATCTGATTTTCATTGAATATCTTTGAACTGCTATATTGCATTACACTTCCAGAATTCCCAGACAACATAATCAGAATTACAACATATCTGGGAGAACATTGTGCTAGTGAAGTCTGAATTCATCATCACATAATGTACTGTAGATACACATTTAAAAAAATAGTTATGTACAAAAAATATAGAACTAGACATACAGTGTTAAGATATACTCTCAATCATATCATGTCTTTGAAGATCTGGCTCTGCTGGTTGACTTGAGAACCAAATAGGGGACTTCCACACTGGAGATGTAGAGATTAGGCTAGAGGTGGCTGCTAGATTGATAGCAAACTCCACCTACCCTCCCCACTCTTGCTCTCTGCTCCCTACTCATCCATCTTTTTGGTTACCATATTCATGTATTATTCTCATTGTGTTCCTCTTTCGTTGTTTATTTTATTATTCTGTTATTTTACTTCTGTTCTGTTTATATTTTCATTTTTCTTTCTTTTTGTTATTGTAAGCCACCTAGAATAGCCCTATGGTGAAATAGGCAGCAAATAAATTTAACAAATAATAATAATCTAGTATGTATATTTAAATTTTACATTTACACGCAAATATCAACAGTATCAACAGTAGAGACCTTCAAGTTTCTAGGTTCTGTTATCGCCAAGGACTTGAAATGGACACCTAACATTAGAACCATCATTAAAAATGCACAACAAAGAATGTTCTACATGTGTCAAATCAGAAAACTCACATTGCCAAGAATCTGCTGATGCAATTCTACAGAGGAATTATTAATCTGTCATTTGTACCTCTCTAACTGTCTGGTTTTGCACAGCAACCAAACAGGATAGTCATTGACTTCAACGTATAGTTAACTATTGCACAAAAATGATCCCAACTAGCTTGCCTTCCACTGAAGATCTGTATACTGCACGAACCAGAAAGAAGACTGAGAAAATATCTACAGACCCCTCATATCCTGAAAATCCTGAAATTCTCTTCTTAAGACGGCACTATAGAGCATTGCATGCACAACCAGATATATAATTTTTCCCCTGTGCCATCACTCTGCTGAATACTTAACACAGCACTGTCTCATTTCTCATCTTTTTTTATCTTTTCATTTTTCCTGTTCTGTTGTTCCTATAATTTATCAATTATTGTTTGTAACTTATGTTTAATGTTTGTAATTATGATTATGACTTATGATCTATTACTTGCTGTTTATATGTATATTGTGAGTTTATGCACCAGAAACAAATTCCTTGTGTGTCCTATCACACTTAGCCAATAAAGAATTCTGTTCTGTTCTGTTCTACTTTCATATTGAATCACCAATTCTTTGTGGCTACTTTCAGAGAGAATCTCCCAAGCCGCTTCAAATTTAAGGAGTATTGTCCAATGGTATTCCGAAATCTCCGGGAAAGATTTGGGATTGATGATCAGGACTATCAGGTAGAGAACAAATTAATAGCTTTTATTGAGATATGTCAATTATATGAATAATTGAGGTATGAAAGTATTTCTGGCTTTGTTGTAATTGGAAATGAATCTTGTGCAACAATAACTGGTGTCAGTGAATCGGATTAAATTATTTATTATATTGATTGTATTTGTATTTTCCTCCAAACAGATTGTATATTTAAAATATGCCAGGCTGAAAAAAACGGTAGATAGAAACAAAAATTGGGTTTGGGGAGTGGATGATGAAAGTATGAGTAAAGAAACATACAAAGACATGAGGGAGAAGTCTAAAAAAAGAGGACAACAGAAACATATACTAAAGAATAGATATTGTATGTAAACTAGAGTTTCCAACCTTTCTAGTTTTGTGGACCCGTGGTGGGCAGAGGGGATGTTTCTGTGTGCATGGTGAGCAAGTGTGTAAGCGCTCACGCAGCTCCATTAGCGTGACCAGCGAGCACGCACACCTGTCACTTAAACAAATAGAGTGCATGCATGTGTTTGCCTGCTACTTGCGCAAATGGGTGTGTGCACACACTCACCCATCACTTCCGAAGCCTAGTTCTGAATGGCTCAAGGTCTGGTAGTGGGCTATAGCCCAGGGATTGGGGACTCCTGATGTGAAGAAATGTTCTATGCACAGAACAAATACAGGTAGTTCTTGAATTACGAATATACTGAAGCCTGCCCATTCCATTTGTAACCCGAGGATTCGTGGAAGTGAATCTCGTATCTTGAACAGGATCACTCCCTCCTTTCACTCACCCACTCACTAATTGAATGCGAGGCTCATTAAGTGCACATAAAGTATTTCAGGGTGGGGAAGGCCATGGGGGGGTAGCCACCTGCCTAAGATCACCCAAGGCCTCCCGACCCACTAAAATATCTCAAGCTCCCCACAATTGCTTCCCCCCCCCAACCAATCTGTTGCGTAGGGTCACTTACAGTGCAAGGATCTCCAAGCGGTGGCGTGCCTCAGCCCCCATGACTCTTCTCGTTCCCCGGGCTGTCCAGAGTTGCAGAGCCCGAGCCTTAGGCTGATGTTGTGCAACGCCAGGTCTGTGGTTAATAAGGCCCCCCTCATTTGCGAGCTAATTCTGGACGGGGGTGCGGACCTGGCAGGTATTACAGAGACCTGGTTGGGCCAAGAGGGGGGGTTCCCCTTGTAGAGATGTGCCCGCCAGGTTTCCGCGCATTCCATCAGCCAAGGGCCCAGGGCAGGAGTGGGGGAGTGGCGGTCGTTATAAAGGAAGGTCTTGATCCGAAGGAGGCCATTGTACCTCAGATAGCCGGATGTGAGTCTCTCCTGGTGAAGTGGGGCCATGGGATGCAGGTGGGCCTGCTGATCACATACCTGGCTCCCTGCCACGTGACAGCGGTCCTGCCCGAGCTTCTCAACGTTATTGCCGGTGTGGCGGTTGATACCCCCAGACTTTTGGTCATGGGGAATTTCAATCTGCCGTCTGCCGATGAGGCGTCTGGGATGGCTCGGGAGTTTATGGCTTCCATGACAGCCATGGACCTGACACAACTAATTCTTGGCCATACTCACGCGGGAGGACACACTCTGGACTTGGTTTTTGTCTCTGGTCAATGGCTGAGTGGCCTGGATATAGGGGATATAGTTATTGAACCCCTGTCATGGTCGGACCATTCTCTCCTGAGGCTGGGCTTTTTGACCGCTGCATCCCACCACAGGGAGGGGGAACCGACCAGGTGGTTCCGTCCCAGGCGCCTGATGGATCCTGATAGATTCCAGAGGGAGCTTGGGCCAGTTCCTGAAACTCTGGCTCACGACTCGGCTGAAGACCTGGTGGCCGCCTGGGACAGGACGGCCGCCGGTGCTCTGGACCGAGTCGTGCCTTTGCAGCCTCTGACCCGGCGTCGAACCTGCCTGGCCCTTTGGTTCTCTGAGGAGCGGAGGGAGATGAAGTGCCGGAAAAGACGCCTAGAGAGTGGTTGGAGGGCTAGTCGCTCCGAATCCGACCGAACACTAGTTAGGTCTCATATTAAGACCTATTTAGTGGCGATAAAAGCGGCAAAGTGTAATTACTTTTACGCTCTTATTGCATCGGCAGATAACTGCCCAGCTGCCTTGTTTAGGGTGACTCGCTCCCTCCTACACCAGGGAGTGCAGGAGGACCCCTTGCAAGCGCAGGCTGAGGATTTTGCACAGTATCTGCAAGATAAAATCACTCAGATTCGGGAAGGCTTGGACTCTGGGTAGATCCCGGCGAGGTGACTGAGGCTGGTCTTGAGAATGTTATCTGGGATGAATTTGACCCTGTGACTCCTGAGGACGTGGACAGGATCCTGGGGAGGTTAAACGCAACCACATGTTAATTGGACCCGTGTCCCTCCTGGCTGATACTGACCACCTGGGAGGTAACACAAGGCTGGCTCCAGAGGATTATAAATGCTTCTTTGAGAGAGGGTTTCTTACCTCCCGCCTTGAAAGAGGCAGTGGTAGGCCCCTCCTCAAGAAGCCGTCTCTGGACCCGGCTGTTCTGGCAAACTACCGTCCGGTCTCCAACCTTTGCTTTATTGCGAAGGTTGTTGAGAGTGTGGTTGCGCGACAGCTCCCACAGTACCTGGATGAAACTGTCTGTCTAGATCCATGCCAGTCCGGCTTCAGGCCTGGGTACAGCACGGAGACGGCATTGATCGCATTGGTGGATGATCTCTGGAGGGCCCGGGACAGGGGTTGTTCCTCTGTTCTGGTCCTGTTAGACCTCTCAGTGGCTTTTGATACCATCGACCATGGTATCATGCTGCGCCGGCTGGGGGGATTAGAGGTGGGAGGCACCGTGCTGCGGTGGTTCTCCTCCTATCTCTCTGACCGGTCGCAGTCCGTGTTCGCAGGGGGGTAGAGGTCAACCTCGAGGCACCTTGTTTGCGGGGTGCCACAAGAGTCGGTCCTCTCGCCACTCCTGTTCAACATTTATGTGAAGCCACTGGGTGAGCTCATCCGTGGTTTTGGGGTGCAATGCCATCTGTACGCTGATGACACTCAGCTGTACATCTCCACCCCAGACCCCCACAATGATGCCCTCGAAGTGATGTCCCAGTGTTTGGAGGCCATGCGGGTCTGGATGGGGAGGAACAGGCTTCGACTCAACCCTTCCAAGACCGAGTGGCTGTGGATGCCGGCGTTCCGATATAGCCAGATGGTGCCATCGCTGGCTATTGGGGGCGAGTCATTGACCCCCACAGAGGGGGCTTGCAACTTGGGTGTCCTCCTGGACACACGGCTGTCTTTAGAAGAGCATATGACGGCCGTGGCCAGAGGGGCTTTTTATCAGGTTCGCCTGATACACCAGTTGCGCCCCTTTCTGGATCGGGACTCCTTATGCACAGTCACCCATGCCCTCGTCACGTCTCACCTGGACTACTGCAATGCTCTCTACATGGGGCTCCCCTTGAGGAGCACCCGGAGGCTCCAACTGGTCCAGAATGCGGCCGCGCGGGTGATTATGGGAACGACGTGGCGCTCCCATGTAACACCTCTCCTGCGCAAGCTGCACTGGCTCCCAGTGGTTTTCCGGGTGCGCTTTAAGGTGTTGGTTCTCATCTTTAAAGCGCTCCATGGCTTAGAGCCAGGGTACTTACGAGACCGCCTGCTGCTACCGATAACCTCCCACCGGCCAATACGCTCTCACAGAGAGGGCCTCCTCAGGGTGCTGTCGGTCAAGCAATGTCGGCTGGTGGCCCCCAGAGGGAGAGCCTTCTCTGTGGGGGCACCCGCCCTGTAGAATGAGCTACCTCCTGGAATATGACTGATCCCGGACCTCCGGACCTTCCGTAAGGCCCTGAAGACTTATTTATTCCAGCAAGCCGGCCTAGCCTAAATGGTTTTTAATGGGATTTCTAAATTTTATAGACTTGGGGTTTTAAATTGGGAGGCTGATTGATTTAATCTCTTTTAATTATCTTAACTTTTTTATTGTATGTATTTTAATTTTGGCTGTTCACCGCCCTGAGTCCCTTTTGGGAGAAGGGTGGTATACAAATTAAATTTAAATAAATAAATAAATAAATAAATAAATAAATAAATAAATAAATAAATAAATAAATAAATAAATAAATAAATAAATAAGTCTAGCAAGAGTCTCTTCTCCAGCCTCTCAGCCATGTGCAGCTCCATTCAGGTCTGGGCAGACTTCTCCCAGCATGTTTCAGGCCAAAATGGACCTTTGAAGGGATGGATTCACCCCTCCAATGCTCTGTTCAGGCCTCTGGAAGCCTCACCTGGCATGTTGCAGGCCGAAATGGAGCTTCGGAGGGGCAGATCTGAGCTCCTTTTCGGCCTCCATGTCAAGCGAGGCCTCCGGAAGCCCGAATGGAGCATTTGAGGAGCGGATTCGCCCCTCTGAACCTCCATTTTGGTCAGCAACATGCAGAACGAATGTTGCAGAGCTCCTGCCATTGTTCATAAGGGTGAACAACTGCCATGGTGCTGCAAGGTTCGTAGTTTCGTGACTTGTTCGTAAATGCTAAGGGATGCTTATCGCATAACTTTGAATGTTCATTAAGGGAACGCTCGTAACTGGGGCATTACCTGTAGATTGTGGCACAAAGGTTTAGCTGAACCATTTTGAGTGGGTTGAGTTCAGCCAAACTAAAATTTGGAACGATCTGTTTTGGGTTTCAACCAAAACAAACTCAGGCCTGCAAAGTTAGTAGAGAAAGTCCTAGGACTTCCCTTTGCTCTCTTTGATTTCCTTCTCCATGTTATCTATATGTCAGCTTACCCATCAATGTTCCTAGCACTTTTCTTCCCCATACCTCTTAGTTGCCATCTACATAGTTTTAAATTCTCATTGACCTGACCTTTAATTAGGTGAGATGATACATCATAGGGGGATAATTTTTGAACCAACCTCTAATAGGCTAACTTATAGAATGTGTCCAAAAGTCCAGGACTCCGCAGGAAATGAAATTTGGGGAAGTTGTGGTTTCTTCAGTGCTACTGGCTGCTACTGTGATCACATGATCTTTATTTGTGATGTTCTGTAACAGTTCTCAGACAGTCTTGCAATCCCTTGCTCCTTCTCCCACTCAGCAGCAACTACTTACTACCCTGCTGGAAATGGAAGGGATGCTGTTCAATGGTCCCTGCTGGATTCCCTTAGGAAACTCAGTGGGGAAGCTGGCAGAAAAGTTGGAAGTCACTCCTACTCCCTCTGTTTTTTGCTTGCCCTTGGTTTTTCTGTGTCTAAACAGAAACACAGAAATATCGGGTATGAGCTCTCTAGTTTTATACAAATGTGACATACCCAGTTGGTCTGCTCTTCTCTTCCCCATCATTTCCAAGTATGGATTTTGTTCTTATCTTATCTCCCCACAGAATTCTGTGACCCGGAGTGCTCCAGTATACAATGATAGCCACGGGCGGTGTGGAGTTCGCTTCCTTACCACTTATGACCGGCGGTTTGTCATCAAGGCAGTGTCAAGTGAAGATGTTGCAGAGATGCACAACATTCTAAAGAAATATCACCAGGTGAGATATATGTAGGAAGGAAGTATACTGTTTTGGTGGGCATTTTAGTAGATGCTCATATTTTGGAGGAGACTTCTATAGAAATTTTCCTGTTCTCTCCCAGCCAGAGAGAAAGAAGAAGCTGAAAAAAGAGATCGTTTCTTTCTAGTTTATGAGATTATTGCATGCATAACCTATGAATTATGCTGCATTATTTTTATTTAGAAGAGACTATCAGATACGGATGTGCCCAGAGTTATTTTCCTCAATTTCTTTTTCACTTTCAAGTTACTGGAAAGACCTGCCATAATTAATTTATATCTTGTGATGAAGAAGCAACATTCCAAATGGAGGAAATGGGATATCAAAAGAAAAAGCTCCATTAAAGCCTTTTACTACCCAAATTCACAGATTTTGTTTTGTATCATGGGGATATTTTTTTTCTTTATCCTTCATTTATTTTATCCTGAAATTCTTTTTTGTTTTAATTTATTTTCTCCATTCAGGACATTCTAGTTGTATTATCAAAGAGTTCTAAACCGATAGTCTCTATTGGATAATTCTTAGGATCATACTTGAGTTGAACAGAGGGAGATTGGTCTATTCAGGACAGTGAAACTTTTAGGGCAATAATTAGAAGATCGCCTAATTGCAGAAAATTAGTTTTTTCATGATAATTTAAGAAATCTGAGCTTAGAAAAATGTAGCTGGAATAATTATTTTCTTGTTATTATACAATTTCATTCTGGCAAAATAAGGCTCAGAACTATATTCCTTATTTCTAAGGTTAACCGTTGTAGCAAAACATTATGTTTATCAATGTCATATTTCTCAACCATACTACAAAATAAAAAGATTTTGTCCTTTTGGTTTCATTTATTAGAAATAATTTAGTATATCAGGTCATATTGATACTTTAAAAAGTACCTCAGATGCCCTTCTAAATCATCCTCCTGTGGCAACCCCCAAAAACCTGGCAATTTTTAGACTACACTAATTGATTATATATTCTTTCCTTTTTTTCCTTATTCTCTTCAGTTCATTGTGGAATGTCATGGAAATACACTTTTACCCCAGTTTCTTGGTATGTACAGGCTTACAGTAGATGGTGTGGAAACCTACATGGTAGTCACCAGGAATGTATTTAGTCACCGGTTGACAGTGCATCGAAAATACGATCTCAAGGTGAGCATCTCTAAAGTTCAACAGAATCCCATTCTGGCCTCAAAAAATGTGCATGCTTGTAAGTTTAGAATCATAAGCAGATACTTGAGTCTTGGACTTGTGAAAAAAGTAAGGTATTGTTTGAAAAATACTATTTCCGTGTAATTCACATGGCTATTACAGGTAGTCCTCGACTTACAACCATTTGTTTAGTGACCACTTCAAGTTACAAAGGCACTGAAAAAAAGTGACATGACCATTTTTCACTCTTAGGGCTATTGCAACATCCACATGATCATATTTTGGATGTTTGGCAACTGGTTCACATTTTTGACATTTGCAGTGTCACCTTTTGTGACCTTCTGACAAGCAGTCAATGGGGAAGCCGGAATCACTTAACAACTATGTAACTGAATTAACAACCTTAACAAGAAAGTGATTTCTTGTTAAGTGTTAAGTCATTCACTTAACAACCTTGGCAAGAAAGGTCATAAAATGGGGCAAAACGCACTTAACTATTGTCTTGCTTAGCAATGGAAATTTTGGGTCAATTGTAATCATAAGTCAAAGACTACTTTTATATTCACACAGTTTGGTTTCCTTGTATAATTTTTCTCTGAGGGTTGAGTCCCATAGACCATGGCTACACTGAAGCATTTAGGCCTGGTATTGATTTTGCATTCAGTAGGAGTTTTATGCTGGAAGAGGAAAGCTATTAACACAGAGTTAAAAGGAGAAAAATTATTTCCAGATTTTCTGTATAAAATGAAATGTGGGGTTCACTAGTTGTATCATAGTGTTTTTAATTCCTGTAATTTGCTAGTATAGAAATATTATATTATTATAATATTATTATATTATAATATTTGGTATTCCCCATCTCCCTCCCCAAATTGGGATTGCTAAGAGACATTGAAGGGTAAAGTATATATTTTCTTTTGAATAACTGTGACTTATTCAGAAATTTTTAGACTAATTCTTTGGAAATCTTTTAGTTTTAGGTAATCTTATGACTGTTTGCCAACTTCTATTTGCATATAATGTGAAATATTATTGCATATATATTCCTGTACTACACATCCAAAAAAATTTCATACAGTACTGCATAGATGCACTTGATTTCCTAGATCAAACACTGTGATAGTTTTAAACCATAAGCTTATGGTTCACTGAGATGAGAGAATTCAGATGTTGTTTTAGTACATTGTATGAGCCTGGCTATCCATAGAGCCATAATGTGTTCACTTATTGGACGTATTATAAACATAGCAGTTCTATTTTATTATTCTAGATCAGATTTAGCATGTTCTTTGAATCCTGCTGGTCTGTCTGTATAAGTATTCATTAGGATCACTTTAGAAAAGTGAGAAGGAGATAGTTGACCTTCAATAAGTCATTTCTAAATCATAGAATCATAGAATTGGAAAGAATCTCAGAGGTCCTCTTTTTCTGTGCAGCATTAGTTAAAGCTAACATACCATAGAAAAGCTGACTTAATGTATTCAATTCTGGGGAGTGTAATATTTTCCCAGATACAACATTTTTATGGTTTAAAAGTTTAGAAAAATGAAATTAGAGTAAATAAGACAAAGAAAAATACATTGACTTAGCCCTTAATTTATAGATGCACAGTCAAGGTTTTTTAAAAAAATGTTTGGCTTTAAATAGATAATCACTTTCAATTTTTTACTTACTCCTCCAGGGTTCAACAGTAGCAAGAGAAGCCAGCGACAAAGAAAAGGTAAAAGTCAAAGTTAGAGAAAATAAACATATTTGTGTTTTGAATAAACCTATCAAATGTTACTTCTGTATCAGTACTTCTAACAGGATTAGACAAAAGGTCCTATGTTATACAAGTCTGCAACCCAACCCTATATCCTCCCAGAGAGCATGATGGGAATTGTAGTCCAGCAAAGTTTTGGAAAGTAACAGTTTAGGAAGGATTGGCCTGTGCTATTTACTGTAATAGAGGAAAGTGACATATTGAGGGGCTGAGAAGATGCATTAAACTGTATTTTGGTAGCTATCTTGCAACATATATGGGGTAGAAATAGGAAAAAGCATACAATGATTGTGTTCTTATCCTTCATATGATGACTTTGCATTCTTTTTTCAATTAAGTTTATTTTTTGGTTTTAAAAAGAAGCTGCATTTTTTTAAAAATGAGACTGAATTTGATAATCAAAATCATATATAAAAATATCAGAGTTTAATAGAATCTGGCAGTAATACATAACATTAGCAGCTTGATATAATATTAAAATAAGTGTTAACTAGTTCTTAAAACAATTAGTGCTTATCAAAATAAACAGGTTTCTATTCTTCTGTATGGCTTAACTCTTGTTTGGGGGTAGAATATTTGTTCTAACCCAGGGTGGGATACCCTTTTAGTGTTGAGAGTTGACTAAATGCATATAAAAGATTATTAAAAACTCAGACATCAGTCAAAAGTGGATATCCTCTCTCCTTCCATTTCTCCCCTACAGACAAGTATGTACGCCCAGGCATACATTTAAACATACAAGCATTGATTGTGACTCTCCAGTTATAAACAAAAAACTGCCAGTGGGTCTGCCTCTTGAGACTTCTCAAAATACATTTATTCAGAGATTCCTCCTGTTGGGATTGCGAGCAATACAGACACAGACAAAGGCAGTTTAAACAGCATTTTTCCCTTTGGACCTTCTCTCTTTCAGGTAGTCCTCAATTTATGACTGTTCACTTAATAGTGGTTTGAAGTGAGACGGCCATGGGAAGGATGCCATCCTAACCATCGCAGTACATTATACCACTTCCTTAGATACAAGTTGTCTCTCTCCTCAGGCTGAAAATTCTGCTTGGATTACAACAGAGAGAATTTACAATTTCGGAGCTGAGAGACACTCACATGTGGCCTGGATCTCCTACGGCCTGTCTCATGCCCCTGAGGTAATCTTACCTGGGACTCTGTCGACTTAATGACCTGTGAGATAGCTTAATGACCACAACCAGGAGTACCAAAGCTGTGGTCATTGAGTGAAGCAATGAAGTGACATCTTGCTTAACAGCCACTTTGCTCGAGATTCCAGGTGCAGTTGGTCATAAGTCAAGGACTACCTGTATTATGAATTATATGATCACTCAAAATATTTGCATTTCACTCCATACATCACTATGAATACAGCTGTCAAACAGCTCTAGAAGTCATCCTGGACTCTTTTGAGACAGAAAGTGGAAACTGCAGGTTTTAGCAGTGAGAAAAAGCACAGTTGGAAGGAGTAAAGGAGGAAATGGAAGAATTGGAAGGGAGATCTGGGATGCACTTTGAGGGACCACTGAAGACCTTATGTTGGCTGAATGTGCCACATATAAGCATCCATGATTATAAAGTAAAGAACCAAAACAGTGTTAATTCCTTCTATTGCTGTTTTGAGCTTCTAATTATGTTACTATTGCCACCATATTCTTTAATGAATTATTTGAATTAGATTGATTTCTAAATGTTGCCCTTTCCTTTCTTTCCCCAGTTAATATTAGTGTGATCCCATAACATATAGACCCTTAACTGACCCAGTTCTATGCTTCATGAACCCAACCTTTTTTAAAAAAGGAAAGTGCTTCTATTATTATTATTATTATTATTATTATTATTATTATTATTATTATTATTTTATTGCTTTTTTGCAATATGTTTCCTAATCACTTAATTGGTAACAGAGAACCAATTTGGTGTAGCGGTTAAGGCACCAGCTAGAAAACACAAGACCATGAATTCCAGTTCTGTCTTAAGCACAAAGCCAGCTGAATGACCTTGAGCCAGTCATGCTCTCTCAGCCCTAGGAAGGAAGTAATGGCAAACCACTTCTAAAAACTCTTGTTGATAAAACTGCAGGAATTTGTCCAACAATAACAACAAAAACTGGTGAAAACAAGGACAAGACTGACTTGTCCTTGTCCTGAACTAGGAGTTTTACAGCCTTTCTAATTATGGAAAACTAGATGTGTGTGTGTGTTCAAAATGGATGACATCATCCAGGAATCCCAAAGATGCCCTTACTATGTAGCCCCATCAGATAGATCAGAAGAACATACATAGGTTAGGTAGATGGGGCTTTTTTTTTTAAAGACACTCCACCATAGTTAATTTACTATAGGTGTGGCAGGCATTGCCCTTAAAAGTTTCTGGTTTTATCAGAGATACATCTTCTTGAAATCTATATGGCTTTGGTTCTTTGGTTTGCCAGCTGTGTGAGGCGTGACAACAAAATGGAAAGACCAGTTCCTAGGAGGATTCTCTTTGCTTTCTTCAACTGGGCTATGTTGCTCTTCTGACCTAACCTGCAATCCTTCTCTACTTCCTTCCCACAATCTCTCACAAACTTTTACTTTTAGCCCAGCAGTTTGTCATCAATATTTTCATAATTTTTTAATTATTTACCCAAAGTTGATTGGAATTGCCTTTGCCCCAACTTCAGCAAATAGTATATTGAGCTGCTTTGGATTGTAAAATATGGAAGCAATGTTTTGCACTTACTTGAGTTCAATCCTCTCTAGGCTAAGGATCTACCAACCTTTAAAGACAACGATTTTCTAAATGAAGGCCAAAAGCTCCATGTTGGAGAGGAATGTAAAAAAAATTTCCTGGAGAAATTGAAGCGAGATGTTGAGGTAGGATAGCTAACTTGTTGATTTTTGGGAATCATGGCATAACTAAGAAGTGGGAGTGACAGAATTCCCACTATTACAATAATTTTCAAACTCTTTGAAAACTAGATAAGGTAGAGATGTCTAGTAGAGTCTGTCTCAGACTCTAAGGTGAATTTAAATTAATTTGAAAATCTTTTTTTTTAAAAAAAAGCAGACAGGGGAGTTTTATTTCTTTTGCATTCACTTTGGGGATTTCCTCCTTCATCTTACTCAAGAGTAACTAAGTTTTCCATAACTTAAGATCAACAGAAGTGAGTGTTACTCCTTCACATTGCAGAAGGAATTTGGTAGCGCCTTCTGCGAATAACAAGCTTTATTGGATTGTTTAATCAATTTAAATTTAAATAGAATGCAGACCTCAAAGTACAACAGATCTTAAAATGACCATTTTTTAAAAGTTCATGATCATTGAATGAGAGATTGCTGAACTCATAGTTAACAAAAAGTTTTATGCAATATTTCTGCAAAAACAGTGGTTTCTTTAACATATTACAATTGTTAACTGATTCGGTACTTGCAGTCTGTCTGATATGTAACCTGCATGTGCATAATTAGCTAGTCTTCCCTCCCATCTCATCCCATTTTAAATATTACATCAATCTAGCCATTCTATCGCATCTGATGAAGTAAACTGCAAAGTCACAAAAATTTATTAAAAATATTTTCCTTCTATAACTCTGTAAACCCAAGAATTTCAAGCAATCATGTAAAACTGCCTTGAGATTTATGGAACTTAATACTTGGAGTTGGTGCCAAGTTAATGAAAGATGTTGTAACTCAAATCCCAGAGGTGATAGACATTGAAAATGAGAAGGAATTTTTTTTCTTTTGGCTTCCAGTTTCTTGCACAACTGAAAATCATGGATTACAGTTTGCTGGTGGGAATTCATGATGTTGATCGAGCTGAGCAAGAAGAGATGGAAGTTGAAAACCGGGCAGAAGATGAAGAATGTGAGAATGATGGCATAGGTGGGAATCCAATTGGTTCCTATGGGACTCCACCTGACAGTCCTGGTAACCTTCTCAACTTCCCACGTTTCTTTGGGCCTGGGGAGTTTGATCCATCTGTGGATGTCTATGCTATGAAAAGCCATGAAAGTAAGTACTGAGATCTGGATGCTGGTAGTGGGAATGGAAGACAAATGTAAAATTGTGAAAGCCAGAGTCTGATTGTAAGCATTTATTGATACATGGTGGTTATTTGAATCAACATTATTTTCTCCACTTTTTTGGAAATCTTAAGACTGTTTGACTCCCTGAACTACAACAATGTATCCAATAGTTGCCTTAATTACAGACATGATTTCCAGTTTAATTTTCCTCATAGTGTACAGCCACAGTAAAGGGTAGGAGTGTCTATTTGAGAGCCAGGTGATAGAGAAGATCATTTGGATGTCTTCTCTAATACGTAACTGTCCAGAACATATTCATGCCCTTTAGCAGATTTGTCCAGTATTCACCATGCCTACAGGTAGCCTTGATTTACGACCATTCAGCAACCATTTGAAATTATAACAGTCCTCAATTAAATGACTTACAACTTGTGTCCAAAGTTATGTCTATTGTAATTCCTCTGTGGTTATATGAACAAAATTTGGCAGCTTGTTTGCAGATATGATTCTAGAGGTGGGTACAGCTTCTTCCCTTTGCCCACCTATCTGCCCTCCAGCCTCCCTAGGCCACCAGGACATGGAAACCTTCCACAGTCCGGGAAGCCTTGATTTGCTACAAGGCTCACCAGCATGCAAAAAACTGCCGTAGCCCAGAAGGACTTAGTCTTAGTTGGCTACCTATCCCATCAGAACATGCAAAGCAGACCATTTAACTTCACAATTTTCTTCAACTGCTGACAAGCATATCATGCAGTCTACGTAAAGTGCAGCCTTCCTTTTTAAGGATACCTTGCACCATTCTCCAAATGGGCTCCATTCTTTGGAATTCTCCTTCTCCAAGTTGCCCATTTGGAGAAGGAGGCTTCCAAAGGATTGTGAGAATAGAGCTGGCTCTCATGGGGCTTTAGAAGCATCCCAAAAATGTGCAATTTGGTGTGCCCTGTAGCTTGTAAAGGTCTCCCAAGACCTCCCAAGCCCTTACCTCTCTCTGTTTAACAACCAATAAAATTGCTTAACAACCACAACTGGGAATGCTGAGATTGCAGTCATTTAGCAAATCAGTCACATGATGTCTTGTTTAATGACCATTTTTCTTAACCGAGATTCTATGTGCTCATAAGTTGAGGACTATTTATATTTATTTTGAATAGCCAACTTATGAGTACAATTGGGACCGGAATCTCATTGAATGAAATGGTTATTAAGCAAGATGCCCACGTGACTTCTGCTCTCAACAACTACAATCTCAGCTCTCCCAATTGTAGTTGTTAAGTGGACAGAGCAAAAGAGCTACCTGCTGAAAGAGGACAGCTAGCACCCCTCTGTGTGTGGAAGGGAACTCATGCGCTGGGCTAGGGAAATCCGAAAGCTCCTCTCTTTGCTCTTTCCATATATAGAAGGGAACTAGTATTGGGCGGGAAAGACAAGATGGGGATTGTAAATATTCTGCTTCATCTCTCATGCCAGTGCACAACTTCTGTGAGTGGAAGGGAACTTGGGTGCTGCACTGGAAATATGATGTAGGGATGACAAAAATCTGAGTTTTAGTTCTGCAGCCTGATTAAGGATTTTCAGAACAATTCATATCTTGTATGGAGGGAAGTGTAAATCCTTCAGCAAGTGGTAGCAACTTCTAACCTCCCATGCCAACTTCCCCATTAACTTTCTGAGGAAGCCAGCAGGAAAGATTATAAATGGCAATTGCATGTCACTGGACACTTGACAATTGGTTGTAAATGTGAACAGGTTGACCAGCATCCACACAATTATATGACCGGGGAGGGGGGAGAGACAAGATGAATGTTTTATGATGGCTGGAAGTGCTTTAAGGTCCATAAAGTACTCTTACAGAACTGTAACATCAAATGGGCATGAAATGACTGATGGTATATTGAGGATTATCTATATTCCAAAGTTTTTTAAAAATAATACTTATTCTCAAATCTATCATAGCTGAAGAGGAAACTGCTCTGGATATAATAAAATCATACACTTCTTCCCCTGCTTCCTCAATATTTTCATTGTTTTAGGTGTTGCTTGAAGCATCTGCTGAGTAAAAATCTACTTCTTGGATCATTTATTTAGCGTAAAATATTCTGGAGTGCTTTAGTTGTGCTTGCAGTTCAATAAGAATAGCAAACCCTTAAAAATAGTTCTGCATCCTCCAATACTAATAAATTTCTCTATCTTGTTTTAACCAGGTGCCCCTAAGAAGGAGGTATATTTCATGGCAATTATAGATATCCTTACCCCTTATGACACAAAGAAAAAAGCAGCACATGCTGCCAAAACTGTGAAACATGGGGTAAGAAAGAATTATTTGTTTGCATTTATCTCATTGTGCTTAGCCAAGCAATACTACATTTTATAATATATTTCAGAACAACTGAAGCCACAACTGGCTGAACAGTGATCCAAAATTGTGAAAGGGAGGCAGGGATGCAACCATTTCATATATAAATTGATGGGGCTAAGACCCATGGGTTTTTAATTTTTTCTTTCTTTCAGTATATTATACTTGTTCGTTATACTACACTTTTTATGTGTATATCACTCAAAATGATAACAATTTTTCAGGAATTCTGGTTGCAAAAGACTTTGGAATTTGCAAAAAATTATGAAAAGCTGAAATAGAAATTTTGTTAAATAAAAGCCACATCCAGTCAGAAAAGCATAGCTTGTCTATCTTTAAAACAGATATTAGGTTTCAGTGGTTCAAGTGTAATTGGATTACCATTATGATTATCATTTAAGTAAGATAACCTGTTTCCCCAAAAATAAGACCTATCCCGAAAATAGGTCCTAGCATATTTTTTTATGTGTGTGTCTAACATAAGCCTTATCCCAAAATAAGTCCTACTTAAAAGCCTGCGCAGCCGGCCATTCTGTCTCGTTGCTCGCAGTGCCGTGGCCGCAAGGTGAGGTGGGGTGGAGCTGCCCCATGCATCCCGCACTGACTTACCTCAGGGCGCCCGTAGCCAGGCCATTCATGCCCCGATACCTGTCTCACAGTGGCAGCACTGGTAGCTGTGTGCAGCAGGAGTCCATGTGGCCACCAGCCCACTTCTTCTGCTTGCTCGCAGCCACAGCAGAGAAGGAGGCTGAGCGGTGTGCTTTTGCCATGGCTGCAAGGTGAGGGAGATGTCAGGGTATGGGTGTCCTGTAAGGGCCCTGAGATAAGCCAATGTGGGGCACATGGGGCAGCTCCACCCCTGCTGCTTTGCGGTGGTGGCACTGGCACACTGTGCGGCCTGCCCTGTGGCAAGCAAGCAGAAGTGAGCCTCACATACATTTGGGGGGGGGAGACACTCTCCAAAAATAAGCCCTAGTGCTTATTTTGGGGTCCAAAAGAAAATAAGACCTGGTCTTATTTTCGGGAAAACACAGGTACATTATAATCTTTCATATTCTAATCATTTTGGTCGTTGTTTTCTGACCATTCCGCAACTTCCAAGTAAATACATCAGAAATATTTTAATATGACCACACCCAAAGATACATTTTGATATGATTTTTCTGTTATCGTTCTGTCTTCTATTTCTGTCTATTCCTGAGTCTTTTGCCACCACCATCTACAAGATATTTTCTTTCAATGAATCTCTTGCCAGTGTACATGGTTTCCTTCTTAAATAACTTTGTCCAGTTCAGCTCCATCCGTCAGGGCCTCATCATTCAAAGCCATAGGTTACAAAATGCTAAATGAGGACCAGTATGAAATTAATGCAGAAGAATCTTTGGAACATTCAGAAGCTAGAGCTGAGACTATTAGGATAACAATGTATCCTTTTCCAGTCCAATTTACCTTTTCAAATGGTTCATGATCCAGTGCCTTTCTGCTCAGTTTTTCTCTTTTTCTTTTCATCTGCCTTAGCAATAATTTTAAGAGGACTCTTGGTTTCCTGATAATTTATTTCCAATAAAATGCTAATCCCAGGTTTTTTCCAGGGCTGTCTTCTAGCCTCAGCCCTTCATTCTAATTGAACACTGTAACAATATACTTTTGTGCAGGTAATGAAGTCCTACTGTTGGGGAGGTAGTCCTACTCTTTCCATAATCCTAAAGTAGGCTGCATCATCTTTCATCTTTCAAGTGCCTTTGTTGTTCCTCTGCCTGCGCAAAAAGCATGAGAGAGAGGATGTAACTACAATTAGAGACATTGTAACCACATTTTTCTGGTGGCTATATAAATGCCTGTTCAGATGTTCTGCCTCTCTGCTGCAGGTGATTATTTGGCTTTCTCTAAACTGAGTGGAAACACAGGAAGAGAGCCTTGCCCCTTGGAACATTCAAACAGCACTGGGCCTGGAGAGCATTCTCTACTGCCAAAAAGGCTAGGATAGTCAGAAGATGTTTGAAACATCATTAGCTGAGCAATTTTTCTTCATAAGTGTCTATAGGTAATATGTAGATTGTAAGCCCTTTTCTCCTTCAGATTCTGAAGAGGATGATTCGGTATAGAGCCATTTGCTACCTCTCAGAGTTTAAAAAACTTGGGGCAATCTCTTTAAAGAAATGACTGATGCCACTTTTTATGCTTGAATGAAATTATATGTGCTTTAAGTTTTTTGTTTTGTTTTCCAGGCTGGAGCAGAAATTTCCACTGTCAATCCCGAACAGTATTCAAAACGCTTCAATGAATTTATGTCCAATATCCTGACATAGTTGCCTTCCTGTTGTTGGCAGAAAAGGAGGGAGAAGAATAGTAGAGGGTGGGTGGTAGTGTTTCCAGTTCTGCAGGAATGTAGCCCAGTCTGCTGGATATGATATTCTGTGAGTGTGTGATGACAGTCTGACCTAGCAGAAAATTAACCTCTAGACGTGGGCCTCCAAACCTGGTGGAAAATGAGACTATTACTCTCTTCTATTTTGGTTGCTACAATAAATATCCAAACATAAACCTGAGGAATAAAGTAGTGTTAAGATTTGCACTTTTCTTTGAAAAGCATCAGTCTCCAAATTATCAGATGTTAATGTGAACACATAACAGAAGATATAAATGATGGTTTCCTTCAGTTGAACTATGGCTGTTCATTCAGAGCAAATTCTCTTTGTTGCTTTCTCTAAGGATTGTACAAGAGATGACTTGTCATTTCAAGGACAAGAACTGTTGTAATGATTAAGGAAAGCCATTTAAGTTAGTTGAACAAAGACTTTTTACTTCTGGTCTTTTGATATCCCACTTTCTTTTTGCATTGTTATTTCAAAAAAAGATGAGAATATGAGGGAATTAGATGGATGCTTAAAATTTTATGCAATCGAGGGGGGGGGAAAGCAGTTTCAGAAGAATCCACATTTCTAATGAAATAAGATACAATTTCTTGGTGATCGTGAAGAGGTGAGATAACTTTATACAAATACATTTGTACTGAGTTGGATTACAACTTGGATTAAGTTATCTCTAATATAATGATCTACCAGAGCTAAATTATTCATGGTTCAAACTTTTATACCTTGACCTGGTTGTAAATGCTGTAAAATGATATTTTCCTTTTTTTAAAAAGGTACCACTTCTTTGTATCATCTTATGCTGTGAACCATTGTGTTAGAAATATTAGCTTTTGATCATTCCATTGGGGAAGAATCTAGTCTCAGAATATGGGGAAAATATAATAAATTGCTGAAGGTGACTGCTCTTAACCACTAGGACAGATTGTCCTGCTAATCCAGATTTTTGGAATAAGTTGCACTAGCTCAGTTTTCTTAAAAGAATCCAAACTGTTCTTGCCTCATTTGAATTACAACTTTTTCTTGTAATCTACAGACTAATGTTGGATTTCACAACCGTACTTGTCAAAACTGAAGATTTTGAATTAATTGATTCCATTTTTTCAGTATTCTTCTTGTGAGGATGGGTTCTTTATAGGTGTTTTTTTTAAAAGAGGGATTTGGCAAATTATGAACCATCAGCTTGCAATCAAGACACTTTGCTTACTCTTTCTGAATCTGTTTCTTACACATGCTTTTTTTTTGTATGTGATTGTTGGGGTGTTAATGTCCTGTGCCTTCTGCTTTGTGGACTCTATCTTTTTTGGGAATAAGGTAAATACTTGTTTTCTTTCTTCGTTGTCCTCAAGTATGCGTATTCTTTCAGATGGGATTTTTCATATTTATGAACAACAACAAAAAAATGCATAACGCATTCCATGATTCTAAAGTCATATAATAGTTTACAAGGCTTAAAAATCATGGAATATGCTGTATATACTATAAGATTTTGTTAAGGCATAAATTAAACTATAGAGATTTGAAATTTCTTTTTTTCCCACCTAGATTTCAAAGCAGATTTCTTTTATTAGAAACCACAATGTTTAGCTTTCCCAATTTTATGACTTATATCATAAAATTAATGTGAATTTAGTAACTTATTTCAAAAGGCAGGCATGGATATGGGTATGTTGATAGGTTGTAAAATTTTTTAAAACTCAAAGGAAATGGTGCACTTAGAAGTTCAGTGTAAAATAGAAAATTTGGTCTACCCTATCTTAACATGGAAATTTCATTTTCAGCTCTTTTTGTTTACATTTTGATTAAAATTAGTAAGCGTTAGCCTAAAATGCTGTTTTTTACATTTTTTACAAATATTTGCCTACCTTAATCTATTTAGGAGTTAATCAGTGCACAGTTTTTAAAAAAACATGAAAAGATGTGTTGCCTGGTTGATTCATTTATAAAGACCCTTGAAACAACCAATAATGGGCACTCAGGCAGAAAGAACAAATTGTCCATCTTTGCCTCCTCTTACTTTCTCTTCTCACTCTTCCCTGGCCTTTGCCTCTCTTGTCTGTGTCTATACTCTCTCCATTCCTCAATCCGCTTCCATCAGAAGTTTTTCTCTTTAACACCTTTAACATCCTGTTCTTTTGTCTTCAGCTGCCTTCATTCCCTGACAAAAGCCACTGAAGCTATCTAAGTTGCTACTGATTCTATTCTGGCTCATTGTTTAAAGTCCTCTTTGATGTCCATACTTTGTGCTTAGATGTTGAATTTGAGTTTTACTCAGATATATCTCAAGATGATTGGGAATATATCCCTACCAGTGGTGGGTTGCCCCCCCCGGTTCAGACCGGTTTGCAAGAACCAGTAGTAAAACCGGCGGCAGGCCCCACCCACTACTCCGGATGTCATCATCCGCGATCTGCGCATGCGCAGAAGCTAGCGTGCGATCCTGTTGCGAACCGGTAGTAAAGGTAAGTAGAACCCACCCTTGATCCCTACTCACCTTTAACTCCCCATTTAATTTTTGTTTTGTCATACATGCCATTGACTTGTTAATCTTTCCTACTAAAATTTTGCCCACATATCCTCTTTGCCATCTCCTACTCCCATATTTGTGCCTTTTGTTATGTTGCCCTCTATCAGGAACTTTTAAGACTTTCATCTGAATTCATCTTAAAGTCCTATATCAGCAAAAGTATAACTGGCTTTTGCCTCTAGTCCCATTTTATCCTTTCTCTATTCTATTAACTTAATATTCTGCCTCTGACCTCTGCTCTGGGAAGGTGCTCAGATCCATACGACACTTGGTTCTACTAACTGTTGTGGAATTTTTCCTTCTCAATTATTTGCTTAATAGAAAAATAGTTTAATGATTTGAAATCTTCAAAAGGTACAGAAAAAGCCTGGTGGGGAGGTCAAGAGGGATGTCGTCAGACTTTTTACTTCAGGTTTCCTCAAACCAAATATCATTGAGATACTCTAGTTTACAACTCCACTAAACATGGGATTTGTAGACATTATACGTCTGGAAGATGTCTTTGGGGGAAACTGTTGTTACACTCATATGGACATTTGAAATTTACTCACTGGGAATTTCTACAACTTTTAACATTCCAGTTTCTTGCCATTCACACCCAAAATTTTAATCAGAAAATGGAATCACATGGAAATCTTTTGTTTCCAAACACAGTATTAGAATTTTCCTTCTTATGAATATTAAATTAATCTGGCAATGCAGTGAGAATGATATACACAATAAATTCTGATCAAAGCATTGCCTGTAACGCTACAAGAGATGTGGGAGAAAAGGAACACATACCATCTCTTCAGAGTATTGTTAGTTTTGACAGAAGAGCTATGATTAAACCTAGACCTGATAAGTCTTTTGCTCTTCCTTCCTTGTTCCTATTTTCTATATCGGTGATTCCTCCCTGCCTGGTATCCTTAAATACATCGTTCTAAAAATAACTCATGCATGTTTTCCCTGTAACTCTTAAGGATAGCACTGGCAATGCAATTTTATTTCCAATTCAGTATGTCCAAGAGACCTTTTAGAACTCATTCATTTGCTTTTCTGCCCCAAGTTTCATTCCTATAAAGGGCATGTATATTGGTACAATTTATCCATCAGTTTAGTCTGAAAATTGTCCCCATCCCCCCCCCTTTTTGTTGTTGTTGTTGCAGAAGAGCCTATATTGGATCAGAAACAGATGAATACTAAATTAGTGGGGATTTAGCAGTAATGTATGGCCATTGGTGCATAGAACTACAATCTTCTAGGTCAAGTACTTTGTTTGGAAATCAGATAGATTTCTTGTTCACCAATTCATGCAAGGGAATGTCAATAGCCACTCTTTTTCTTCCCAATGTACATCTTGTTACAGTTGCAATGACCCCAAGGTATAGCTAACATTACAGAAAGGAAGTACTTTTTCAGTACAGCTGTGATTTATCTTTTTAAAAATATATATTTGGAGCAGATTTTTGACTTAAGAAAGTTAGTGACCTATTTGGAGGATTTTGGGGCATGTGTTAGTCTTGTTCCCAAGTAGACTTACACATGTACATTCTCAGTTGGATCATTCTAGCCAAAGAATGTGTGTTGTTGATGGTAGTCTTAGCTTCTTCATCTCCTGTTTTGTGGAATGTACTTCCCCAACCCAGGGTCCTCCAGATATATGGTAGCAAAGTTCCCAGCATTGTTAATTAACATGCCTATTCTAGTGTGAGATGGAACTCATATTCTAAAAGTTTTTGTTCATTATCTTAAAAATATTATGGTATCTTCAGGGGGAATGTATACTAATAGTTTCAGCTTTGGTTATCATGTTTGAGGAAGAAAATCTCAATTTTGTTCAATATATAGTAACTTCCACTGCAATCATTGATGTATCCCCACAGTCTATATTGTTAGGTGGTTACATCCAGGCAGTTAAGCTGGAATTTCCTGCACTGGAAAAAATGTTGAATGTGGGATTTTTAAGGGCTAAACTGCAGTAGATGGTGACAATCATCTTTAATCATGTCTGTTATGTTCATGTGTAGAGAAAGGGCTTGGGGAGGGTATCATTGGAAAGCACTCGGGTGAAAATGGATTCTTATAAACACACATAAATATTGATGGCTAGCTGTAAGCCACATGGTCAAATAAAGTTTGCACTTCTTCATTATCTAAGTCTTTGAGAACCTGGTATGAGTGTGCAATGCCATCCCAGGCAATCTTTCAAAATTGTATTAATTGTAAAACCATGTATTATTTTAAAAGATAAAGGAAACAAGACATTTGTTCCAGCCATTATCAATCTCTTTCTAATTGTATGCTTGAATACCATATGACTATATTCAACATATTAATATATATAATCATATGGTATTTAAATTTATTATATAAGCTGGTGCATAATGGCAAGCAGGCGATTACAAATTTGAATCTCCAACTAATAAAAAATTTTAGGTTTTTCATACCTTTTTTAAAATAAAAAATTTAAAGTCAATGTGCTTATAAAGTATGAGACACTGTTTTGAAATGCATGTATGTTAACAAGGTGTGAAGTCTCTCAGGTGGGTTAAACAAAATAAAAATGAATTTTTTTGTGTAAAACTGCTCTCTGTTTTATTTTTCTCCCCAAAATAGTTATAAGAATGAAGAAGCTGTTTAGCTTAAAAAATTTTGACTCGGTGGGTGCTAGTTGTGATTCTTGGGTGCAGTATCACACAATCATTTCAACCTTCTACTAGTTTTTCCATCTACCTGCATGCCAGATGCTGGCGGCGAAGGTTACAAATGCCAATCTTGTGAATAGGGATGCAGTGACTATCATAATTGCAAGCTGGTTGTCAAACACCCAAATCAAATTATGGGACTATGGGGACACTACAATGGCCACAACTTTAATGATAGTTAATAATCACTGAGATCAGTAACTGAGGACTAGCTGCATATTCCCAGGTAAGCCAAGAATATCCACAAAATTGTGTTCAGTTTATTTGCAAATGGGTTTACCCTTGCATATATAAGGTCCATTGATCCAGTTGTGTTCACTTACCCCATTAATAAGACTTCCCTCTAAATACTGCCCTTCTGCTTTAACAAAACAAGTTCAGAAAAAAGGACTTGCCCCACCATTTGAAAACTACAGCTATTTATTACTTTCAAAAAAGAACTTTAACAACAAACTGAAATCAACAGCTTAGTCTAGAAAAAAGTCCCACTGAAACGAGTAAAAAGTTTAAGGGTACCACCCATGTCTGCTTATTTTATAATGCAGCATTTGGGGTTTTCAAAGCTATATATTGTGTAGTGTTCTTGGAATATGAGATTTCCATTTAACTAGGCAGTGGGTTTAGAAAGCTAAATATGAGCTTGTAGGCCCAAGAGATATACAAAATGCCTTTAAAATACAGTTTTAAACATGTATTGAAATATGAAAGCAAATAAGTCAGGCTCCAAGTATATCAAAAAAAAAAAAAAAAATCAGTTATGAACTTTTGAAATTAAAGTCTTTTGTTGAGCTCCGCTCAACTAATATTACCTTGACATTGTTATCATCTTTTTTGGGTGTACATTAACTGTGCAGCTTGTTGATATACAGTATTTGGCCCAAAATGGGGCGTATCACTCCCCATGAGCAGCTCCTTGGTGATTACCTTGCCACTACTATCTGAACTCAAAGGTATGTTTTCCTCAGCAGTTTCCAGCTAGCATGAAAGAGATGACCAAGTCAGATCTGAAGCACTTTTGCTCACTTTAGATCTGATCTCACACTGAATACTCGAATCCATGCAATAGGACACACTGAATTCAGCAGGACTTTTCTCAGGTTACATCGACAGTCGTAGTTAGCATTAAAAAAAATGAGATCTGCCGATTTTGGTGGACGCCATTTTTTTTAAAGTTTATAATTTACAGATCAATTAGATATGACAGCCAGATTACATTATTACATCATTGTCTGAAAATTATCTTCTTCAGAGCAACCCTTTATCTTTGATTTTAAACAAATCAGAATATATACAGCATCTACATAAAAATGAAAAAGTTATGCTTTTAGAAAAAAGTTTATTCTGTTAACAGTACTTTATTTCCTATCTTGAGACAATCAGTTTTCTTAGTAGGAATTTAACTTAATCCATGCGAGCTTTCAGTGTCCGGGTAGTTATTTTGTCTTTCTCACTGGTGAAAAGAGAAAAGGGAGAGAATCAAGATGAAAATTGTACTACAGTTAATCCTCTACTTACAACTAGTAATTTAATGACGTTCAAATTTATAACAGCCTCAGAGAGAGTTCTTTTACCTGCAATGCATTTCCAGCCACTGTGAAATGTCAAGTCACATGACTGCATTTCAGGCATTACGACTAGCTGCAGCTTCCTGCCATTGTATAACTATGATTTGTGATTTTTTTGCTGATTTTGCCAAAAATTACAATGACTGCCATAAAAACAGTAGTAAAATCAGCCTGTCATGAGGTGCGTCAACCTATGACCATCGCTTATAAGTAAAATTTAGTCCCAACTCCAATCAAGTCAAGAATTATCTCTATTGTCTAATAGTTAAATCTCAATTTTATCCACCAACAGGTAAAAAAGATCTACAACCATAACTCTTTTTCCAAGGATTATCCATAATAACAGCACTACACCCAGAAGGAAGGACAAATTAATTGGGAAAATAATTTCACTGGCTTAACCTTGCTTGTTGCCAATTACAGCTATTGTCTTTCCAGGCAAGCCATGAAAATTAATCAGAGAGATACTGTCCCACATAATTTTTTTAGAACTGATCTTTACCCACTCAGTTTCTACTTACATCACATGCACTATCACTCCCATACCAGACACAGCATCTCTGTCCACAGCATTGAGCATTGACTGTCCTATGGTTTCAAAGAGGTGATCAGGTTCCTGCATCATAAAAAAGGTTAACTTTAATTATGGAGTTATTTTTAAGCATCTGTTCAAACTTAAGTGAATGTATTGAGTATAAAGGAATGTGGACTGAAACAATATAGCCATATTGTCTCTTTGAAAGTCCCTAAAGAACAAGTTTGACGAGGATGGAGAGGGAGAGGAATTACATATTAGATCTCTATTAAGGTATTTCCAGAGAATGTATGAATACAGCTATGAAGTTTCTCATACGAGTTTTCTCTGTGCCATATCAATATATTCATGCATTCAGCATGTAGGGGTAAAGCAGAATTCTAAGCAAAGCAGCATATGAACAAGCTACTTTAAACTGAAATATAATTTTTGTGCTGAGGTTTATAAAGTGAAAAATACTGGGAAGAACTTGTACATATGCCCTAAAGCCCTATTAACATCTACTTTTTGAAGTCCAGAAGCTGGCTTTTATTAAAAGTGTTCTATTAAAGTAGCTAACCCTGCTATATTTCTTATGACCAGCACTGTATTTTTCTTACCATGTCTGGCTCCCAAAGAGACTCACACATGCCATACATTTGCTCTGTACAGGTCCCGCTGACCACAAAATCATCTGTTATCATCGGACAACCAATCAAGTCTAAGGAGCAGATAAAGGGTTCATAAGTGACTGGGTTTAATCCAGCAATTACCGGTTCTGTATAATAAGGTCCAAACCTGAAAGCAGCAAGGAAAGAAAATCATTACAATTAACTACATTTTAAAATTATAAATATCCTTGGCATGACTAGGAAAAGGTTTAAGGTATATCCACAATTTGTCTATCTCCAATACTAAAAAACTGAAAAAATCCTTGTTCTGAAGATTACCTACTATCATCTCAAGCAAAGAAATATTGCTATTTAATTGCAACTCCCATCTTCTCTCAATCTTAGCCATGCAACTGAGAGGAATTAGAGTTCAACTAAATCTGAAGGAGCAAAAACTGCCTGCTAATGTAGCAATAATCCTGATGCAAACCAATTATTCAGAAAGTAAATCTTGGGGTGGAAAACATTAAGTCTCGTAAAAGAATTAATGAATTTGTATGCTCCACACAGCCATGTTTAAAACCAATGATTGTTAGTGCTAGCAAAGAAATATACCAATTTTGATATTTATATCTTAATCTATGTATCACAGGGGTCTTAAACTTTGCAATAACGCAAACAACGTGAGAAGCCTAGAAAAAGTTCTGACACTTTGTTTATATGAGCCTGGTCAATTTTAAAAATTAATGCCCATCCAAGTAAGTTTCTCCCGACTCCTTCCTAAAGCTCCCTGATTCTCAGTTCAAAAATAATTGCCTTATCAAATCTATTACTGAAATTTATTTTTTAACAACACTAACTATATCCAGATAAAATGAATGCTTGACTCTTTACCGTCTTTCATATAAGAGATTAGACACCATGCTCATTAAGGTCTGTGGCTTAATTTGCCTCCCTTCCTTCAGTTCATAGAGATTTAGTCGAAATTTGAGCCTTTGAGCACTGTAAGAAGAAAAACAAAAGAGTTTCAAATCCATTTTAAGGCAAAATGATCATTCTCTTCTATTTACCATCCAAATGGCACAGAAGTATAGTTTAAAACCTACTAGTTGTGCCTGTAAGTAATTATAAAATAGAAATGCGATGAAGACGAATTGCTTCAAATTTGCTATTTCCCACTAATGTGATTAACATATAAACACATTACTACATGCCTAACATCCTTTACTACGATCAAGGCAAAAAATAAACCAATAGTAAATCGCAGATTATAATTCTGGAGTATCAGGATAATTTGATTTAGTAACTTTCTGTTTGTTAATCAATCAATATGGTGTACCTCACTTTTCATTGTAGAATTTGAAATTCATGTGAGCAATCTAGAGATGACTTTTTGGAGGCTTTTAAAATAATAATGGCCATTTAAATTGTTCTAAAGACAAGCAATCATTGTTTAATTTTGAAAAGGACATTGAAATTTAGAATGTTAAACCTACAATTATGAATAGTTTACATTCTATTTCAAAGCACAGAAATGATCCTGGTGAGCTCTCTCCAGATGCCTTCATTTAAAGCAGCGGTTCTCAACCTGGGGGTCGCGACCCCTTTGGGGGTCCAACTGCCATTTCACAGGGGTCGCCAAAGCCCTCTCTCGCCCCCCCACGCCTTCACTCACCCTCACTCTCTGCTCTGTTGGATCGCTGGCCGTTCGCTTACCCCGCCCACTCCCAATCTATTGCTGCCTCCTGAGTCCCAGCTGATGGCTAGACGAAAAAAAACTGTTTAAATTCTTGCCGCAGGGCTTCAAAGGGCCGCCCTACATCTGATCAGTGTTAAAAGAAAACAAATGAGAAGACCGGTGCCTGCAAAAATAGAAAAAAAACAGCCCCTTTCAGCTTCAGCATAGGTTAATTACCATAAGTAGATTTGATCAGCCTCAGACTCTCAGCTGATTTGCTCTCAGCTGTTTTGCGGAGGGCTCTGTTGCTAGCTGCAAAGAGATTTTTTTCCCCCTAGCTATGCTGAAAAACGAAACTGAAAGTAAAGCAGGGTCTTTGTTGCAACGTGACAAAAATGAGGCAGAGAGATTTTTTTTTCTTTTTCTTTTTCCTCACCAAAAAAGGTAGGTGCAAAACTGCAAACAATGGGAAATTTAGGGCAAAAGAGGAGGTTCAAGATTTTAAAACACAAAAGAAAAAAAGCTCTATTTAACTAGGGAATTGTAATAATTGAGATACTATTAATTGTGTATTATGTTGAAAGCAGAAATGGTTAAGTTGTGGTTTGGAGGAATATATGGGGGAAATTATTTGGTTTATTATTATTGGTAAATATAATTAATTAATTTGTAAGAAATTGGATTGCATGGAAATAATTGGAATATTCATGTTCATATTGATTGATATACAAAAAAGATAGTTATATAACTAATTGATTTATATTAAAATGTTGAATTTGTATTAAACAACTGTATTACATAATTACATAATTAACCAATGTGAGGATGGATATAAAAATAGATGACAATGGGAAGGGGTATAATATAGAATAGAAGGGAAAAATTGAATTTGATTAAGATTAGAGATGAGGATGAAGGGTAATATTGGTTTTTTTAAAAAATAGATGAGGAATAAATATGGCAAAAAGAAAATATAGAAATTGTAAATTTAATTGAAATGACTAAACACTGGTTAAATTTGTGAACCGGCCAAATAATCTGTTCAAAGAAAATACATTGTATGTTTGTATGTGTGTTTCTAATTATTGCTATTTATTCATATTTGTTCTCTTTTATTCTTTAAAGTTTAACAATTCATTCTTTATCTTAATATCTTTATATTTGTTTGGGGTTGGTTTTCTTCCCTTTCATCTTTTTTATTGTACAGCAATCTTTCTCCTCAAACCTACCACCTCTCTCTTTTCTTTCCTTCTTACTTTTTCTTCCCCCTCTCTTCTTCTCCTTCCTACTTCCTCTTCCTTTCTCCTTCTCCTCCTCTCTTCCTCCCTCTCTTACCCTCACTCCTACTCTAATTTCCCTTCCCTTCCTTCATCCCTCTCTATTGCTGTATCCTTTTATGCATATGGACTACTCAGAGGGCTGAAAAAGTTATTTCTGACTGGTCCTCGCACTTTTGACCAGTCCTCGAACTTACGACTGTCCTCACATTTTACGTTTTTGCCCTATCTTGTCACCATGGTGAAGAGAAGCAGTTGTGAAATGAATGACATGGTTGTTAAGAATGCTACAATGGGCATGATGACCAGTCATAAGTGCAAAGACTGGTCAAAAGTGCGAGGACCTATCATAAATTACTTTTTTCAGCCCTCTGGGTAGTCCTTTTGTGCACGTGGACTACTCAGAGGGCTGAAAAAGTTATTTTTGACTGGTCCTCGCACTTTTGACCAGTCCTTGAATTGCCCTATCTTATCACCATGGTGAAGAGAAGCAGTTGTGAAATGAGTGACATGGTTGTTAAGAATGCTGCACGGGCATAAATGTGAGGATGGTCATAAGTATGAGGACCAGTCAAAAGTGCGAGGATCTGTCAGAAATGACTTTTTTCAGCCCTCTGAGTAGTCCCTATACACATAGCCATGGCCACCCGGTCACATGACCAGCTAGGCAAGCCCACCCGGTCACATGACTTCCAAGCTACGCCCACAAAATAAGCCACCCCCACAGAACCGATAGTAAAAAATGTTAGAACCCACCCCTGGTTGGGGGTCACCAAACATGAGAAACTGTATTAAAGGGTCCCGGCATTAGGAAGGTTGAGAACCACTGATTTAAAGTATGTCCCAGAGTATACAGAGCTGCAAATTTATTTCGAGTATCAGAGGAGTAAGCTTATAGCTTATTTTTATTTATCCCTATAATAAATATTTATATCCCATAAATATTTATTCCTAGGTGCTGTGAGATGTTCTTCATTTTAGCTACCTACAGGTAGAATTGTACAACTCCAGTTGGGACTAAGCATATCATTAAACAAGTCATAACATGACCAGGGCTGATTTTACGATCATTTTACTGTGGTCCAATTTCCCCAATTGACTTTGTTTGTTGGAAGCTGGTGGGAAGGTTGCAAAACATGATCACATGACTACAAAATGCTGCAACTGTTGTATATGTGACTTGGTTGCCAAGCCCGTGAACTGCAATCATATGACTGCGAAGTGCTTATAACTTTGACAACAGATGGTAAGTCATTTTTTTTCAAAAATGTTGCAACTGTGAACTATTGTTAAAAAAGCAGTCATGTTGATAATTATCTATACTTTAGGTGAAGAAAGTAATTATATTGTTGATACTTTAAAATATTGTATTGGAAGTTAACTTGTTTCTGTAAACTCCTGATATTTAGAAGCTGTCTTCCAAGAGCCATTTTAGCCACTCTTGATTGATTCCAGAGATTCAAAAACCATCATCTAATTTACCTCCCTGCCTACCACTATAGATGTGAATAACAACTTAGCTTCAACTTTTCAGTAACTTGGCCAATCATGATGTATTCATTTCCCAATGTTGGAATAAGAATAAATAAGAATAAACTAAGAAACTAGCTACCAGTTAGTTATAGCTCTTCTGAATATTCTAGTGTTCTTGCTTATATCTACTTAATGAAATACTTACACTGTCTGCACATCTGTGGCAAGACCAGCCAAACCAATGAATAATCTGTCTCCCATTGGAAAAATTTTCTGGAAGTCTGTGGCCACCATCTGAGCTTGAATACCAAATCTGCGATCAGCTGCAATAGCCACACAGTTTTTCCCTTTCATGGCCATAACAGCCCCTCCATTATAGGACATAATAGACTAGAAAAGAAAAAAAGTTTAATTGAAATATGTCAAATGCAGCACTTTTTTACTAGAAGGTATTAGGTTGCAAACATCAAGGTTTATCCTTATGCATATGAAGAACATTAGAATAAGCATATTTGGGCCACAGTGCAAAATATTCCAAAATTTAACCCTCATACTGGACACAGATAGAATGAGCTAAAATAAATGTTCTATTTTGGTTCAGAGAGACTAAGAGTTTTTCCCCACTTCATTGTAATCACAGTACAAACAAGCTCTAGTAAGCACCTTTTTTTCTACAGTGTTCCCATGATGTTGCCTTCATCCAATTCCTAATCCATGCTCCAGACAGCATTAAATTGTCCTTAGCTTTCCCATTTTAAAAATCTTTTTGCCCCTAAGTAGCCAATTATGAATATAATCCTTACAAACCCAATACAGTTGGTGGTATTGTAAAATCACCTAGTGAATGTGGGATCAGCCTGGTATCTATTGGCCAGTACAGGCTTATGTGGACATACCTCTCACTTCCAGTCCTTGGACTTCATCATTCTTCAGTCTTATGTTCAGTTCTCCCCCCCACCTTGTTCCCTCTTTTGTCATCCTTCAGAAACAGGGAGGGACAGGGAGAGATTTCTTCCTGCTGCTTCAACCCCCACCTTATCAGTAAACTGTTACTTGGGCTATCAGCAATTTGGGCTAATCTGGATGTCTAAACCAGGGATAAATTTGGAAACCTGGTGAATAAAAAGTTTCTCTCCTTACACTTGCCACTTCTCCTAGCTCATGCAGCCAATACCCAGGCTCGGAAAGATAGCAGGTGAAGCCAATGCAAGTTCTAATAAATGGCTAATTTTGTGAGTGTAGCCATTTGTCAAAACCTTATAAATTATCTGACAAGAGTCTAACAGGATTAAGATGCTGCATAACTTTGCAAAATAAGTAGACAAAATTCCAGTAGTACAGGAATCGGCAAATTCTATTGGTGGATATTAGGAAAGTGAGGAGATTCAAGATCTCCTTGCAGAACAAATGAGAGCATTATCCTTTGGCTACAGGGCAGAACATAAGCAATTTGGATTGGCAATGGAGACAACAGGATCTACGCCAATTTAGTTTACTGCTGACTCAGAGGTGGAAGGAAAGCATTCTGTAAGGCTGAGCTATACAGAAAGGAATAGAATTCTGTATTGGCCAAGTGTGATTGGACACACAAGGAATTAGTCTTGGTGCATATGCTCTCAGTGTACATAAAAGAAAAGATACGTTCATCAAGAATCCTAAGGTACAACACAATGATAGTCACAGGGTACAAATAAGCAATCAAATCGCATTAGGAAACAGTCAATATAAGTTGTAAGGATACAAGCAACAGAGTTACAATCATACAGTCATAAGTGGAAGGAGATGGGTGATAGAAACAATGACAAGATTAATAGTAGTGCAGACTTAGTAAATAGTTTGACAGTGTTAATAATCAAGCAGTCCCTAATTTAAATCTCTCCTGATATAAATTAACTATGGTGAACTACTATTATCCAAACCACTATTATCAAGTCCAGAATACTTTTGATAGCAATTATATTTTCCAAGCAGAGTTCTCAACAAAATGTTTAATATGCATCCCAGGAGATCTATCCGTTATATAGTTATTATTTGCAATACTATTAAACCTAGTATTTATTAAATTATTTTCATATAATAGATGTTTGTGTGTGTGGGGGGGGGAGGTTGGAACAATTTGAAACTTCATAAAGGAGTCAACGTGCTGGTGAGTTTGAGGGACCCCTGCTTTAAAGCATGGTGAAAAAAGTCTGGCTCTTGCTCCAACCCTAACACAGATGTACACACACACCAACCAAAAAAAAAAAAAAAAGCCAAGTCCCAAGCACGCAATGATCACGCAAGGCCATGCAGGCAAACCGCTTTCACTATCGCCTCCATAGAAACTCCATAGAAATAAAGCAGAAGCCTCCCCCCCCACACACACCCCTAATTTGCAGTCAGCTTCTACAAGAGACATGGCTGAGGAGTCCATCAGCAAGAGTTGGGGCCACAGACCCGACGACCCCGGTATTCTCCTCCTCCTCCTCCTCCTCCTAAGCACGCCGTCTCCGATCCTGAGAAAAACCTCCCACCGCCATCAAGGAGAGTGGGCAGGGATCCCTCCCCGGGTTTAAGCTATTTCTCCTCCTTCTCCTTTGACCTCCGTCTCCCTCCGCCCGCTCTTTCCACCATCAAGACTCACCATGATGAAAACCTCGTGTGGGGGGGGGATGAGGAGGAAAAAAAAAGAAGCCCTTCCTCGCTCACTGCTCCGCCGCAAGACAGGCTTCCTTCCACAGCGATCGCTAAGCCCCGCCCCTGCCAGGACGTGGTACTTCAACATAGACTCCTGCGATTGGGCAGCCCGCCCTTGCCACTCTAGGACCGGACATGGCCTCTCGGCACAGGAAATGAAGAGTCATGCCTGATTGCCCGTAGAGATAAAATAGAAGAGTAGTTCGTTGCAATCTATGAACACGGTAGCTCGGATTTTTAGATAATCCTTACTTTTCCAATTCGGAAATTAGAGTTGCCCTTAAAGAAAAAAAATCGAGCTCCGACACACCTGACTTTTCTTTTAAAAAAAAAAAAAAAGACTACAAAATACGCCACAGAAAAATGAAAGACAATGTAGGAAGTTAGCACCCACCCCACTCCTAGAAGAATGAAATGTTTTAGGAAATATTAAAAAGGCAGAATATATTTCTCTGGATGACAAATGGAGAAACATGTTTTAAAGACAAAGCAGCTCCCACCTTCCTGCCCCCCCCTTTGTCAATGGGTCAGAGGCAGAAATCCAATCCACGGGGGGGGGGGGGTCCTATTGTGTTCCAGATGATGGTCCATTAACAAAGGGAGCGGGGGGGGGGGGGGGCTTTGTCAATGGTCCATCATCTGCAACACAATAGGACCCATCTAGCAACAGAAACTCACCACATGGCACCTGGGAAGGTTACCTCAGCCAGCAAGGCTAGCTAAGACCCTCACCCCCTGGGAGTCTGACAACCAATCAGGGTACCCTTCCTGTGCCCCAGGAAGTTGAAAGCTCAGAGAGGGCATAAAACCAAGGCAGGCTCAGTATCTCGACCTTTTTTCTGCTCAGGAACTCAAACCATGTGGTCCTGTCCCCCATTAAACCATCTTTCCAAGCAGTCTCAGTGTTTTCAGTGTCTTTTTCCTCACTTGGAGCTGAACGCAGAAGGATATTTCTTCCAACAATAAATATTATGTGCTAGCTCGTTTTATTATTGAAAGTCTCATTTTCTGATTCTTTGGAAATAAGGAAATTATCAATTTGTTCAAAATATTATTCTTTATATTTAATAAGCAACTTTCTTCACTCTACAAGACCCTTTTAAAAACATCAGTGAGAAGAAATTAAGCGACATAATTAACACAAATCAAGCAAAGGAAAATTGGGGAGCTGGTGTGCATCTACAGATCCTCTGCTCCTTCGATTCCGAATGGAATAAAACGTTTTTCAGACACAGAAAGAACTGAAGAAGCTTCTTAGAAGCGAAACATTTTCAAGGAAAAAACAAAGTCCAGTTGTCTTTTGGAAAAGCACCTTTGGGACATCCATGAACTGGAACTGGATGCTTGAGATTCTCCATAGACCAAGCACTCTTTTTTATGATTCTGTAATCCCTTAATTCAGGATAGAAAAAAATGATAGAGGAAGGAATTTACTGGCAGAGTAAAATATTGTTAGAAGATAATTACAGTAGAATGGGAGAGTTGCATTAAGATGTCCTTCTGCTTTTAATACTTTTTAAAAGTCTTTCATGTAAACTAATGTTTCTCAACCTCAGCAATTTTGCTATATTAAGATAGATTTGAATTTCAAATATTGCAATATACAGATGGCAGCTAAGAGATAGTTATTTGTATCTCTGTGTTGCAGTCTGGATATGAAGACTTATAGCAGTGATGGCGAACCTTTTCGGCACCAAGTGCCCGAACTGCATGCTCATGCATGTGCGTCTGCTGGAGCACCGGAAACCCAAAGACCAGCTGGCCGGCACGCACATGCCTGTTTTTGGCTGGTTTTTTGGCCGTTTTCAGGTCATTTTTCAGGGCCAAAAAACAGCCCGAAAAGCCTGAAAATAGCCCAGAAAACGCCCCTCAAAATGGCCTGAAAACGCCCCAAAAATGGCCCCAAAACTGGCCTGTTTTTTGTCCGTTTTTGCCCATCTTTCGGGCCATTTTCAGGCTATTTTCTGGCACTCCGGTGCCCGCGAAAACCAGCTGGTCGGCATTGGAAACCAGAAGAGCAGCTGGCAATGGTGCTGATGCCCACAGAGAGGGCTCTGCGTGCCACCTCTGGCACACGTGCCATAGGTTCGCCATCACGGACCTATAGTTTTTTGCAGTGTTACAGTCCAGATTGGTAGCCTTATTAAAGCTAGCACTAAAAAGGGACATATCATCTTTGCTATTCAGTTTCTATTGGTCTGAAAATCTTATGTTTTATTTGATTTGTAAATATTTATAAGTAACACTGCCTGTTTGGCTAATGAAAAGAGGGAACAAGGTGGGGGGGGGGGAGAACTGAACATAAGACTGAAGAATAATTTATAGTTATGTTAATATGGCAGGTTATAGATCAAGCTGTGATTCAAAAATTCTGCTCTAAATATTAGAAAGAAATATTCTTAATATTTCAAATTTTGGAATAACTGAGAATGAGAGGCTATTTACAAGATAGATCCAATATAATTGTTCATTTTGCAGACAAACAGTGATACAGCACCTAGAAATTGCAGAACAATTTTAGTGTTTCAAATTTTAGGTGGCTAGTAAATTTTAGATGATTATATTGAACTCTTCCATAAATAATGGCCTTCATATTGCAACAATAATTCTTTTATATCTCTATTAAAAGCTCCATTTGAAGAGAAGGTAGCAGTTCTGACCAATACGGCCTTTGCATTAGTATGTCTTTGGCCTCACATATGCTGGAACTTATGATGATCATAGTCCTATACCATTGGAAAATATCAAATCTGGGATAGTTTTAATACAATACCACTTTTGAGCAATATAGCCATTCATTATTTATCATTTCTGAGAATAATCATACCATTGATATACTGGTCATCTTATTTCCAGTCTTTTGCTAATAATCTGTCTAATATTGCCTTTTCCCTTGTCAACAAATATTGACAGAATGGTGAGTTACTTTAGAGACAGAGTAGATGAAATCCTGTAAAAGAGAGAGAGGTGAGAAGCTGAAAGAATGAAAGGCATTGCTGGAAGCCCTCTATGGAGATGGTGAAAGCAAGAATGCAAGATTGTGTAAACCATGATTACAAGTAAAACAACAGAAAATAGGTAACAATCTCACAACTGCTGGCCTTTTCTATGTAGATTCCAATATCAGATGCAAATATATAAACCACAAGTTGCATTATAAAATCACAGTGCACTGGCCTCCCAACTATAAACATTAAACTAAATTGAGGAATATATTATCGTTTTTTTTATTTTACACCTTAAATTTCTTTGAGTTTTTTACTTCCTACTTCTTTTCTGTGCTTTTGAAAGCATTGTGCACTAAGAAAGAGAAAGCCTTGGTAGTACAGTGGTCTAAAGCACCCTGTTATTAAGAACAGCTGCCTGCAATTACTGCAGGTTCGAATCTCACCAAGGCTCAAGGTTGACTCAGCCTTCCATCCTTTCTAAGGTAGGTAAATTGAGGACCCACTTGTGGGGGCAATAAGCTGACTTTGTATAAATATACAAAAGAATGAAGGCTCTTGCTTAGCGCATTATAAGCCACCCTGAGTCTCCGGAGAAGGGCGGCATATAAATCAAATTTTAAAAAAAATGTATTGGGTAAAAGTGAATGTGTAAACCACAATAGCTGGTTCACTCAAAGCAAAATACATTGTGGCTTAATGCAATATGTAAGTCTAGCAGGGCACTTTTAATTTCAAGGCAGGGGGTTGCTAAAAATATATATAATAAAACTTTAAAAATTGAACACTAGAGGGAACTAGAAGAACTAAAGATTACAGTTAAAGGAAGAGAACATTCAAGTTCATCTTATATCACAAAATGAAGGAAATATTTTAACTTTAGATATATTGAAGGATATTTTTGAATAACAAATCCAGGTAAATTTTAAGTGTGTCTGCCTCTATAGATTGACTGTTTAAAAGATGTTATGGAAGATAAACAAATTTTACCTGACAAGATTGAGATTGATTTGAAAAATCAGTTTAAAAATGATAGGGTGCAAGAATAACATTGAAAAAGATGTTACACTGAATGTACGAAAGAAACCAACTAATGTCTTAATAATTAAACAGGATATAGAAATAATAACCCAAGAAAGTGACCTGAATTATTTTCCTATATTGGGTGTTCAAACAGACTTCTTAAACCTTTTGAAGAATTTTATGAGATGGGACAAAGAAAAAATGAAAAGAAATCAAATTCTAGCATACTATTTTAAGGAATCAAAAATCAAGATTGTTAGAAGTAAAAGGAAAGAATGTATAGTTGATTGATCAAAGTTAAATTGTTATCATCCTTAATGGATTTTTGCCAACATCAGGACTAAAATGATTATATTTTATGAATTTGTTTATTGATAAGGGATGGGATATGGGAAGAGGAGATATTTGCTGTCCTTTAAGAGAAGGTGATGTTACTATAACTGTTTATACTCATGATAAAAGTAGGAAGTCACTTCTTTATATATATTTCTTTTTCTTTATTACACCCTTTTCTCTTTGTTTTCCATTTTTTTCTATTTTTTCTTTCCTGCACCTTCTTTTTTTCTTTTGTTTTAGTGTGTATTAGAATAAGAATTACCACTAAAATGCACTTCCAGTGGAACAAGCAGAAGCTGGTCGGTTTGGCTATGGACAACAAAGAATTCTAAGGACCCTTTACATTTTCAGTTTGAACGCTCTCTTTCTCTCTTTCGGAAGAGGGTACTGGATTAAGACAACTAGATAACAGGTACCAAAAGTGACACTCGTCCCTGGGTGGGCTCGAACCACCAACCTTTCGGTTAACAGCCGAACGCGCTAACCGATTGCGCCACAGAGACCGCCTTAAACGCTTTATTTTTGCTTTGGATACCCATTTCTAACCTGAAAAATGCTTTCTCCATCCCGCCACTGGAGGCAGAATAAATCGTGGGGAAGAGAGAGGGAGGATATGAAGTAGCGTGGAACAAAAATAAGCAAACGGCTTCGTTTTATTTCGAATCTTTTTCCAAATGAGACGATTCCATGCCAGAAACAGGGTTCAGAACCCCCTTCGGAGCTTAAGTGCTTTGCAACTGTCCTGCAAATGGCTTTGTCTCAATCATCTCTCCGCTTCCCTCCCTTCACTGAAATACAT